GCAGCAGCCAAATCGCTCGCTCACAACTTTAATGCCAGGAGCTCATAAAGTATAATTTTTGCTCACAAGACTCCACAGCTTAGAGGGAATGTTGCTCCTGGGTCCACCCCCAGAGTCTCCAGGTATTTTCCAACCCAGACCTGATAAACCTATCTGAGTAACATTGGGCCTAGTCCCACTCTTGGCCTAGCCTATCTCACAGGGCTGCGAGAATCAAACGAGGGAAGGAAAAAACATGTACACCTCCCCATGCTCCTTGATGGAAGAGTGGGATAAAGATTTATAAAAAGAGGTCACTTCTAGCATAAGAGTCATATCACAGGATCTAGACAGAAACAATCTTAAAAAAAAAAAGCCAGTATGGTGTAGTGTTATAGTGCTGGCTCAGGATCTGGACAACCCAGGTTCAGATTCCCATCGTGCCATGGAAACTTGCTAGGTGAACTTAAGCCAGTCATACTTTCTCAGCCTAACCTACCTTGCGGGTTTGTTGTGAGGATAAAATAGAGGAGCGGTGAAAGGTATTATAGGCCACTTTGGGTCCCCGCTGGGGAGAAAAGCCAGCTCACACATTTTGGTCTTCGCTCAGGAAGGAGGGCTCCAGAGCAAACTAATTTATGCAGCAGCCAAATCGCTCGCTCACAACTTTAATGCCAGGAGCTCATAAAGTATAATTTTTGCTCACAAGACTCCACAGCTTAGAGGGAACGTTGCTCCTGGGTCCACCCCCAGAGTCTCCAGGTATTTTCCAACCCAGACCTGATAAACCTATCAGAGTAACATTGGGCCTAGTCCCATGGCCTAGCCTACCTCACGGGGCTGTGAGAATCAAACAAAACAAGGGAAGGAAGAAACATGTACACCTCCCCGCGCTCCTTGAAGGAAGAGTGGGATAAACATTTATAAAGAGAGGTCACTTCTAGCATAAGAGTCATATCACAGGATCTAGACAGAAACAATCTTTTTTTTTTTTTTTTAAGTCAGTATGGTGTAGTGTTATAGTGCTGGCTTAGGATCTGGACAACCCGGGTTCAGATTCCCATCGTGCCATGGAAACTTGCTAGGAGAACGTAAGCCTGTCATACTTTCTCAGCCTAACCTACCTTGCGGGTTTGTTGTGAGGATAAAATAGAGGAGCGGTGAAAGGTATTATAGGCCACTTTGGGTCCCCGCTGGGGAGAAAAGTGGAGTATAAATCTTTAAATAAATAAGATGGCTTGGGATAAGTCAAACTGAAGTAAAATTTGGCCCACAATAGAACCAGAAGGCTGGGTCTTAATATCAAAATTGATTTCTAAGGGTGGTAGTACGGTGACAGGAGAGGGAAGTATCCAGACTCGCATGACTGATCCCTAAGAGGGTAGAAATGCTTTTGTCTCTTAAACTGGAGATAGAGCTTTGCAAGCAGCATCCAATGACAATCCTTAATGGTAGTTAAAAAAAACAACCCTGTGCATAAAAAGGGCATTTGGAAAGGGATGCAAGATATCAGTGTTAATGGTAGCAGGGTGTCTAGGGAAACATTTGCAATAGAAATGTATCAAAATGAACAGGTGGACAAAGAGTACTTTCCCAACAAAGAGTATTAGGAGCGGAACTGAGAATAAAGCAACTGGCATCGTAGCGCCAGCAGATACATTTAAAAGCTGCATTTGGAAGGTTGTGTCCAGCTCTGGTCTCCTGTCTTTAAAAAGAAGCCCTGCAGCCCCCCTGAACACGGGAAGTGGGGAGGCCTCTTGTCTGCCCTCCGGCTGGGAAAGATGCAGGAAAAGGGTAAGCAAAACAGGTGGAGAATCGTTCCTATAATGAAAGGCGTTTGAGGCTTTTTGATTCAGAGAGAAGATAGCTGAGAGAAGTGTATACAACTGCACATGGCAGCAAGACAGTGGGTGTAATGCTTCCCTCTTTTCCAGAGACACTAGAAATTGGGGTCACCCAATCCAATTGATAGCAATCGACTGAGGACAGACCAAGGGATGCACTTGACCTCGGAAGTGAAAAGATGTGGTGATGGCAGGGGGAGGAGGGAGGCCAGGGGGCTGGAAGAGGGGATTAGACACATTTATGGAGGAGTAATTCTCTCTGCAGCTACTAGCCAGAAATTTCAGTCTTTGGAGGTAACAAGGGGGAACCCGCAAGGACTTGCAGAAAGCATATTGAACAGGTGGACAAAGAGTAATTTCCCAACAAAGAGTATTAGAAGCAAAACTGAGAATAAAGCAACTGGCATCGTAGTGCCAGCAGATACATTTAAAAGCTGCATTTGGAAGGTTGTGTCCAGCTTTGGTCTCCTGTCTTTAAAAAGAAGCCCTGCAGCCCCCCTGAACACGGGAAGTGGGGAGGCCTCTTGTCTGCCCTCCGGCTGGGAAAGATGCAGGAAAAGGGTAAGCAAAACAGGTGGAGAATCGTTCCTATAATGAAAGGCGTTTGAGGCTTTTTGATTCAGAGAGAAGATAGCTGAGAGAAGTGTATACAACTGCACATGGCAGCAAGACAGTGGGTGTAATGCTTCCCTCTTTTCCAGAGACACTAGAAATTGGGGTCACCCAATCCAATTGATAGCAATCGACTGAGGACAGACCAAGGGATGCACTTGACCTCGGAAGTGAAAAGATGTGGTGATGGCAGGGGGAGGAGGGAGGCGAGGGGGCTGGAAGAGGGGATTAGACACATTTATGGAGGAGTAATTCTCTCTGCAGCTACTAGCCAGAAATTTCAGTCTTTGGAGGTAACAAGGGGGAACCCGCAAGGACTTGCAGAAAGCATCTCATTTTCCCTTCCCACTATTTCCATTCCCCCTTTCCTGAAATCCCCCAGTCTTTCTCCTTTCCCACTTCCTTCCCTCTTTCTAGGGTTGCCAACCTCCAGGTAGGGCCTGGAGATCTCCTGGAAATCACAACACTACTTCCAGCTACAGAGATCAGTTTCCCTTAGGGTTGCCAGCTCCAGGTTGGGAAATCCGTGGATATTTGGGGGTGGAGCCTTGGCAGGGTGAAGTTTGGGGAGGGAAACAACCTTAGCAGGATATAATGCCATAGAGCCTACCCTCCAAAGCAGCCATTTTCTCCAGGGCAACTGCTCTCTGACAACTGGAGAACAGTTGTAGTTCTGGGTGATCTTCAGCCCCCACCTGGAGGTTGGCAATCCTAGTTCCCCTGGAGGAAATGGCTGCTTTGGAGTGAGCAGTCTATGGCGTTATACCCTTGTGAGGTCCCTCCCCTCCCCAAGCCCCACCCTCCTCAGGTCCCACCCCCAAATCTTCAGGAATTTTCTAACCTGGAGTTGGCAACCCCACTTCCTTCTCTGCCCTTCTGTTTTAAACTTTCCCTCTCCTCCCCCCAGCAGCCTCTCCTTAGGAAAACTTTCCTTCTCAGCCATTCACCAGCCTATATTTTATCTGCCTCCCATCTTCAGCTATATTTATTATTTATTTACTTCATTTATACCCTGCCTTTCCCCACAGTGGGGACCACAGCTGCCTATGTTATTCTTCTCTCCTCCTTTTTATCCACACAACAACCCTGTGGGGTATATTAGGCTGAAAGTATGTGACTGGTCCAAAAACACGCAGTGAGCTTTCACAGCAAGATGGGGATATGATGAACCTGGGTCTCCCAGACCCTACTCTGAAGCTCTGACTGCTTTACTACACTGGCTTTCACAGGGTGGCTGCTACTGATCAGTAGCAAGCAGCCAGGCCTGGTTGAGTCATAGAAGTCAAGTGGCATCAAATCACCCAGAGGGTCTGCCAGGATTGCCAACCTCCAGGTGGGACCTGGAGATACCCCAGAATTACAACTGAACTCCAGATGACAGAGATCTGTCCCCCTGGAGAAAATGGCTGCTTTAGAGGGTGGACTATATGGCACTATATCCAGCTGAGGCCTCTCCCCTCCCCAAACCCTGGTCTCCTCAGACTCCATCGCAGAATCTCCAGGAACTTCCCAACTTGGAGCTGGCAACGGTAAGTCAGGCCTGGCCCTAATGAGTCCTCCCTCAAAGGCCAAAATAGGCCTGGAAAGGGCCCTGTTTCCTCCCCCTGCCTCTTACGGACAGAACCCATCCCATCATGGAATACTGTGGTTGCCTAGCAGCAGTCACTGAGGGAACCTGTTGCTTAAAGCTACAGGTGTTCCTTTTACATTATTTTTTTATTTTTTAAAGGCCTCGTTTTGGTGTTTTGTTTTTGTTTTTGTTTTCACATTTTTCTGCAAACCTGGGTCCCTTTTCAGGTTTGTAAAAGATCTGCCTTGCCCACTCACAGCTCCAGTCTCTGGATTTAAGTATCCAAACATTGGTCGACTTTGCTATTACAATATAAGACATGCCCCTGAATATCAGTGGCTAAGCAGCAGCTGCAAAGGAAGATTCCTCTCTTCATGCCCTCTTGGGAAGCTCCCCAGAACCACTTAGGAAGCCACTGCTGGCATTCAGATTAACTTGGGTCAGATCCAGCAGTGCCCTTCACAGGGTTTTACAATCTCTGCCCAACCATGAAGCTCCGCAAGTGGAGATGGAAAATTACTCTCTCTGATTCACTTTCATTTGTTATTTAGCTATAACCCCATGGGGAACCAAAGATTGTTCTCCCCTACTCTGTTTTATCCTCACAACAACCCTGTGAGGTAGGTTAGGCTGACTGACCGGCTCGAGATCACCCAGTGAGATTCCATGGGGATTCAGATGTGGGTATCCCAGATTGTATCCCGATATATCACACTGGTTCTGAAACGCTTACAGAGTGAACCTCTCTGACTGTGACAAACTGTGGCTTATGGACTGTCCTTTCATATCAGGGGGCTTGTTATCAGGTGGACCGCTTCTCTCTGACCCACGAATGCACCAAATCCCATTCTGCATCCTTTCTCCAGGGTCTGGCCTGGGTCGCCCTGGCCCCTCTCTCTTTCTCCAGCTACCGAGCAACCAGACCCTGCGTTTCCGTGGCAACAAGGCAGAGGCCTGGGGAGCAGCTGTGGAGGGGGCAGCGGAGCCCTTGGCGGATGATCCCCAGGAACAGGCGCCACCTTATGCGGAGGGGGAGGAAGAGGAAGACAGAAAACCTCTGAGAGAGCTGCCCCTCTGCCTTGAGGAAAAACGGAGGCTCAGGTAGCAGCTGAGTTCTTTTGTAGGGGGGTAGAGTTGCCAACTCTGGGTTGAGAAATACCTGGAGATTTGGGGGGTGGAGCCTGAGGGGGGGTGGAGTTTGGGGCATAATTCCACAGAATCCACCTTCCAAAGTGGCCATTTTCTCCAGGTGATCTCTGTCGCTGGAGATCAGTTAGAACAGAGGGAGATCTCCAGCCTCCACCTGGAGGTTGGGAACCCTAGAAGGGGTTTAAAGGCATGCAGGATGCCTGGGTTCTCAAGGAGAGGGTAAAGGGGATAGATATCTAAAACTGTTGAGAGAGTGAAGCTTCCTCCTGGAGTTCTTGAGTTGCCTTGTGGCAGAGGATTCTGGGAAACGACCAGGGGTCGTTTCGTAGAAAAAGAGCTAGGGGAACTCATTAGCATAGCTCATTAGCATATGCCACACCCCCTGACATCACCGGAAGTGTGTCATAAGGCCACACACCCCGCCCCCAACGGTCCCGGCCGCCGCCGGCGGCCTTGCAGCTCCACTGCCGAGCCCCATGAGGGGCCCGGCGGTGGACCTGCAAGGCCGGCAGGAGTGCAAGGAAGCCCCGCGAAGGCCCTCCCTGGCCCCAGGCAGGCAGGGGTGGGGAGAGGCGGGGAGGAAGCAACTTACCCTCCCTCTTCTCCTGCCTCCTCCTGGCTGAATGAGGGCTGGAAGCGGGGCGGCCGGAAGCAGGGGGCGGGGCTTCGTCATGTGCCCCGCCCCCCGTACCTCACCCGGGGGAACTGCGATCCCCCGCGATCCCCCCCGAAATGACCTCTGGAAACAACACCTGGGAACAAAATGGGTTTCATGAAGTGAGTTGGCCTCTGGGCAGCCGTGGATGGTTGCCAAGGAGATGCAATCCCTCTTAGTGGGTAGATTGCGCAGCTAAGCACCATGCTTCACCACCAGCTCATAATCGATGTGGTGTGTTCCTGTGGGCCCTGACCTGGATGGCCCAGGCTAGCCTGATTTCATCTGATCAGGGAAGCGAAGCAGGATTTTAGCCCTGGTTGGTGTTTGGCTGGGAGACCGCCAAGGAAGACAAGGGTCGCCACACAGTGGCAGGCAACGGCACACCACTCTGAACATCTCTTGCCTTGAAAACCACAAGGGGTCACCATAAGTCAGCTGTGGCTTGACCGCACTTTCCACTGCCATGTTTCTGTGGAAGATTCTGTAAGCTCAGAAAAGCTGTGGGGTTCTCTTTCATAGCCTTCAAGAAGGAAAGGTCCAAGCATGGAGGACAGGTCTATCAGTGGCTCCCTAGGTAGACAGACCTATATAATGGCTGCTTGCCATGGTGACTAAAAGGAACCTCCAGGTTCAGAGGCAGTCAATTTTTGAATATCTGTGCCAGGAGGCAATATCAGGGGAAGACCTCGGCCTTTATGCCCTCTTGTTGGACCTGCAGAGGAACTGTCTGGCCACTGTGTGAGACAGGAAGCTGGACTAGATGGACGACTGGTCTGATCCAGCAAGGCTCTTTGTATGTTCTGAAGCACGCACAAGACTTTTGGGTTCTCCTCAGGGTTCTGCAGGAGCAGGCAGCCAGCAGGCTGAGCGGTTGGCAGCTCTGGCGCGCGGGGAAAAGACGGACGCTACGCCACTTCAAGAGCCAGGCGGGTGCAGTGATGTCATATGCTGTGATGTGGAAGAGCACACTGCGCCACATTGAAGGTATGGGTGGTGCTCAATCATCCCCACAGAATCGGTTTGGGGGCAAGTTGTACTGGCTAGCCTAACATTGTCAGCTCTCATCTTTTGCTCCCCAAAAGGCCACTTTGGAACAGGGATCGAGTCGTATTTCAGCTTCCTACGGTTCTTGGTCCTGATGAACTTTGTTGCCTCCTTACTGGTGGTGGGATTTGTGGTCGCTCCTAATGCGGCATTTGAGGCCCTCCACCTCAATTGGACAAGTCGAAGCAGCAACACCTCAGGTAGGTCAGTATGAGCCAGAAATCCCAAGTTTCTTGAAGAAGAAACGATTTCAGATGTCAGTGTGAATTGAAATGCCTGCAATTGTTTGTATCCTTAGTTTCATATTTGGGTCTTTTCACACAAGCTTCCCCCGCAGTTTAGGTGTCAAGCCACAGAGGGTTTTCTCTGATTTTCTTCACATTCTGGTTTTCAATTTGTTATTGTGCTGTGCTTTCTCAAATTCGATCAAAGGTGATTTGAGAAAGTGCAGAGAAGCAACAAGGAAAACAGAGAAAAACAAGGACATAAGGAAGCTCAGAGAAAAACTGTTGCAGGTTGGCACCCAAACCACAAGAAAACCTCCATGTAGCAAGATCCTTTCTCTTCCATACTTTGAATGGCAGTGCAAGAGGTAGAAATTCTGCAGGTATAGCTTCCCCCTTCACTGCATTGCCAGATTTTATGCCTCTGTAGCAAACCTTCAGTAAATAGGACCGATCAGAGTATGTTATGCTAAAATCTATTTTCTGGGACTCCTGCATTTAATAGCAGGGTCTATAACAGCTTCAGTTAGCCCCTGGATTCTCTGGGAATGGGGAAATTAATTCATTCTTTCCCTTTTTCCTTTCAGTGAATGCCTCTTGTCTGCGTTACAACCCCTCCGTCTATGGCTTGGTCAGCTACTTTACCTATATCATGGATCTTCTGTCAGGCAAGGTGAGGGACTGTATCCCAAGAATACCCCCAGAAAGGGCTGCTCTGACCCATTTTCAGTGGTGGTCAGTTATGCACGTGCTTATCTCCCTACAGGGTTTCATGGAACTCACCTATCTGTTCTACGGCAAATACCAAAATTCGGCAGTCGAGTTTGTCAGCTTCTCATACAACGTCCCCCTCGCCTATCTTCTCACAGCATTCTTCTACCTCCTCTTCTGTCTGATATGGATTGTACGGAGGTGAGAGAACAGCTCCGCACTATACAAACAGCCATCCTGCACCCCAGAGGCGGCTGCATCTCCTGACTGGTGGAGGAATCTTATTTCAGTATCTGTTCTCTCTGCTCTTCCATCCTCAGGTCGGTCTATTGGCTCAAACGCAGCTTGGTTAGTGAAGACGCCTCCCTTGGATCCTACAGTAACAAAGTTTTTGCTGGCTGGGATTTCGGCCTGATGCAGCCCAGTGCAGTGCAGTTAAGACACAAGAGTATTCGCTATGAACTGCGGGTAAGACCGGTTGACAACTCCCGGAAGGCTAGAAACTGATATCACAGAGTGCTGGGATATTTGGGCTTGGATTTCAAGGAGATTGGTAGGAGGTTGTGGGTCCCTGGTACCCAATTCCTTATAACACAGAATGACATACAAGTCTCTTGACCTTTGCCTACCTGCTCCCCACCTCCAGCCCCCCCTTTTTGCTGTCAAGTCACAGCTGACTCATGGCAACCCCACGGGGTTTTCAAGGCAGGAGACATTCAGAGGTGGTTTGCCATTGCCCACCTCTGCATTGTGACCCTGGACTTCCTTGGTGGTCTCCCCTCCAAATACTAACCAGGACCAAGCCTACCAAGACATGACAATATCAAGCTAGCTTGGGCTATCCAGGGCAGGCAGGGCAGCCCCCGGAGCTTTGGCATACTGCAAGTCATCTACTTCCATGCCCACTCACCTGTCCCCTTCAAGATGACTCATGATTTTCTGTTGCACAAAGTCTCATTTATGCACAGAGCTATAAGTGGGAGTGTCAAATCCATTTGTTATAAGGGCCAGATCTGACATAAATGTCACTTTGTCGGGCCGGGCCATGTGTGACGCGGCGTTTCAGCCGGCATAAACTGTACCGGTTGGAACCGGTGCAGTTTATGCCGGCTGAAACGCGATCACACTCACCTCCATTTTGCGGATCCCATCGCTGTATGCCCGCTCACACACTGCGGGTGTCGGCTTTTTTTTTTAAAACTCAGTTTGAGCATGCGCATAGGCAGCCATTCACAGAATGGCGATCTTTGCGCATGCTCAAAACACCCCATATTACATTTAAACTTTAAAGGTAAGGACTTACCTTTAAAGTTTAAAGACCAAACTGGCCTCCCTGAAGTCCCGGACTCCTCCAAAATGCTACACTAAGGGCTATTTTTTCAAACAAACAAACAAACGCTCAGGGCGAAGCTTCGCCCAAGCGCACGTCGCTTAGTTAAAAAAAAAATGGCGGGGGAAAATCCGAAGCCTCAGGCTTCCGAACGGAAGTGGCTAGACACCGGTGGAGAGCGATCAGACGGCAGGGTTAAGCAAATGCAACCGTCGCACTCAGGATACCACCACTTGGGGACCTAGTGGCAGAGTGCAACGGTTTAAAGGGCTTTACAACAGTTACGGAGGAAAGACAGATGTTCGCCGTCTGAATGCCAGTAAGTACAACGATTGCAACCGGCACAGATTCCGTTGTAAAGCCCCCGTCTGAACGCACCCAAAATGTAATGCCAGGTACCGGAGATTTAAACTTTATAAAGGACAGCAACTGTAAGCTCCAGGTTGGTGTGCCCTCACTGCAAGGCCCCCTGGGGTGGGATGGGGGTGCAGAGGAAAACCCACATGGAGAGCCAGCAGTGCAGTGCCGGGCAGACGCTCTCATGTCCCAACAGTGGATTGTCTGCGCCCCCATGTGCAAACACTGATCCCTGAAGCTGCAGGCCAAGGGGAGAGGTATGAGTGCAGTTGCAGTGGCTCCCAATTTACCAGTCCCTGAAGTTCAGGGGTTCTGCTTGACTGCTGCAGACAAGGTTGTTCCGCCGTGATGGAGCCACAGTTGGAATGGCTCTGTCCACCACCACCCCGAGCAGCCTCCTGCTCCCTCCCTCGCACCAGTGGCTCACGGGCCACATAACAGCCCTGGACGGGCCAGTTCCGGCCTCCAGGCCTTACGTTTGACACCCCTGCTATACAGCACATAAATGACCGCAGGCCAACAAAAGAAATGATAGGGGGACCAGCTCAAATGGCATCCCCGCATGAGATGTCTCATCATTGTATTGGTCTCTATCCCGCCTTCTTCTCATTTTCAGTACTGGGCACCAGAATCAGCCTTCGGGCTTATATTAAGGGAGAAGAGAGTGAGTTAATGAACCTGGATAACTGGAGATCGAAGTCAGAAGCTAAGGGCTCTGGGTGACACTTAACAGCAGGCACCACTATCCAATGGGATCCTCTTGAAACAAAACACACCCTCTACACCAGCACACAACTGAAAGATCTAACTCCATGTTACATTTTCCTCACCTTCTCCCACACTTGTTTTGAGGACTGTGCTGGCAACTTAATTCCCATGCACAGCCTGGTGCACTCTGGTCCTGATCCAAACGAGACATACATCCCCATACCTGGGAACTACATTTCCAGCAGAGAACTTGCAACACATGTCTGATCGCACAAGACTTGAGGAAGACATGAGGAGAACGTAATATATGTTTACGCATCAAAGCAACCTTTGGGTCCGGTTACGTCTTGCTCTGCCTAACAAACTACAGGTTGCTTGCTTGTTTTGCTGGCTGTTTAGAGTGTCAGATTGAGACTAGAGAGACTTGGGTTCAAATCACCACTCTCTGATCCCATTAGGTTCAACATACCTCACAAGGTTGTGAGGGGGAAAGGAAGTATGGAAGGGGGGTTATTGACCGGCCACAGCTCCTTGAAGGCAAGTTAGAATACAAAGAAACTCCATCAGAGCACTTCAGCCTCTGATAGGACTTGCTATACCAGCGCAACATGCCGTGAACGGATGGGTTTCTGAGATTTTTCTTCCAGGTTTCAGCTTACATCCACCATTTGGGCAGAGATATGTGCTCCACGTCCCTCCATCTTGCGGCTGCACCTTTATTTTTGTATCATGGAAGGTTCCATTTGGGGATGCCAAGGAGTCTCTTTCTCCCTGCAGATGGATCTCGAGGAGGAGATGTTCCGCAGGCGCCTGGCAGAGCAGACCACAAAACAACGAGCCACTCTCTACCTCCTCCGAGGCTTGCTCAACGTTCTGGTTTTAGGCCTGTTGGCTGGAGGCTTTTTCTGCATCTACTTGGCGGCCGAGTATTCCCAGCGGCTTGTGGGATCGGTAAAGAAGTAGCTTTCACACACAGTCTCCCCATCAGGCCCTTTGCTATTGCTGGTGGGGGCAGGAACCCCCCCGAACTCCTGCCTTCTGATCTAGCAGATCATGGGTTCAGTAAATGCACTGACCTTTGGGGGCCATGCTGGGAGTGGGAACCTGGACCAAAAGGGAAGCCGGCTCTTATATACTGTCTGGGCCAGCCAGCAGTCAGGTGCTGAAAATCTACGGGTAGAAACTCTGCTGAGTTGTGTGACAAGCAGAAATTCAACAGGCATGGGTCTCCCTATTGCTGCACCTGTTGAACTTCTGCCAGAGCATCCCAAGCAAGAAAATGGCAAATTCCTCTCTCTCCTCTCTCTCTGCAGGACAACTCTCCAGTCAAAGGTCAAACTCTCTTGGAGCTGTTGGCAGCTTATCTCCCGTCTATTGTTATCACAGTTGCAAACCTCCTCATCCCAATGATTTTTGGGGTCATTGTACACCTAGAGAAATACCCACTCAGCTTTGAAATCAAAATCACTCTTCTCAGGTACAGGAAGTACTGGATACTCTGTGGGGCATGGTGTATACCAGGGGTACAGGTAGCTAGCTGTAATTATAATAATACATTTACTACTACTAATAATAAGATGCCTTAAAAAGTAGGTGCAGTACAATAAACGAGGTAAAATGAACAGTCCTGCCCATAGGCTAACTGTTTTTCAAAAAGACCAAAAAGAAAGTGGAACAGAAGACTGAAGGGAGCAACCAAAAGAGAGGCAGATCTTATGGATTAGAGAAGAAGTGCCTTTTCAGATGCTTTGAACAGTTACGAGAAGCACAAATGGTGATGAGTTCCAGAGACAAGGGGGCAGCATGAAAGGAAGGATAGGGGTGGGAAATAGAAAGAGTCAACGGAGCAAAGAACAAAAAGATAAGCGGACCAAAAGATAACAAAAAGCAATCACTCGAACTGGATCGAATTAGGAAATGGAACACAACAAAGTATGCGTAGCAAAGGAGAAATATGGCCAAAAGGGGCACAAAGTAGGGGAAAACAAAAAACTAGCAGTAAAGTTTTCAGGTGCGTGGGTCAGTCAGGGCTGCATTGATTATCAGGTTCAGTAAATTACAGCATGTGGTCCCTTTCTGCCTTGTTTGGGTTGCCAACCTCAAGGAGGCACCTGGAATGCCCCCACTATTACAATGGATCTCTAAATGGCCAGGGTCAGTTCCCCTGGATAAAAGGGCTGCTTTGGAGAGTGTCCTCTATGGCATTATACCCAGATGAGGTCCCTCCCCTCCCCAAACCCCACCCTCCCCAGGCTCCACCCCCCAAATCTCCAGGTATTTCCCAACCCAGAGCTGGCAACCCTACTGCCCTGCTGTTATCTGAAAGTTACGGGTTTTTTGCTTACTGAAGATCCAGGGAATGGGACAACCCTAGCAGTCTTGGACCCATGTTCCATTGACCAAGCCAGGCACTAGCTGAGGTTTGCCTAGGTTTTGGGGACCTGCCACCTAATAGTGACAGGCAGATGTTAGGCAGGTGGTGTTAGATGTTCACTGTTCCTATGAGGCTCAACTAGGTCACTGGCAGCAAAGACTGCCAACTTTTCAATCTGCACTGCAAGCCTTTAAGAGAAGATGGCTGTGTGCAGACATTAGCAGCTGTTCCTCCCCATTCTCTGGAAAGCTTCACCTGCTGCTTTTTACTTGGCAATAGGGTTGCCAACTGTAGCCTGGGAAATTTCTGGAGACCTGACAGCCTGTGGAGGAGGGGAAATGGGGAGAGATTTTACTTAGAATCGATGATGTACCTTAGAGTCCACCCGCTGAAAATGACATTTTCTCCAGGGAAACCAATCTCTGTAGTTTGGAGGTTAGTCGTAATTCCGGGAGAACTCCAGACCTCACCTGGAAGCCGGCAATCTTACTTGGCAAGCTGCTCTTAGAAGAATGTGCCCGGATGGTTGCTTTTCAATTGGTAACTGTGCTGTCTGTCTTTCTGCCTGGTAGGAATGTCTTCCTCCGCCTTGCAAGCCTGGTGGTTCTTCTTATTTCACTTTGGTCCCAGATCACTTGCAGCAGGGACCTGCAACATTCAGACTGCAAGGACTGTGGATACAGCCGCCTATTCCTGGTGAGGAGAACCAGGAGGTGGGAGCCTAGATTCTTGAGTGGAGAATGAGGTCTAATGGTAGAATCAGATCTAGGTTACCCCCCCCCCCAGCGAATGCCCCCTACTTCCACTCACGCCACTCCTGGCTGGTGCCAATCAGACCCCGGTGATGCACTGGCACCATCTTCCTTAAACCACCTACCTCAAATTGTCACTGTGGTGGGCCGGCCAAAGATTTGGCCCTGCCTAGCGGGCTGAAGAATCCTGATGACTTTCAGAAAGGAGCTAAAAGTTAGCTGGCTGGCAAAGGGGCCCTGGCAGGCCTTTCTTCTTAGGACAAATCATGTCCAGGACATATAGAAACCAGAGTGCGAGTTAGTAGGGTTGTTGTCCTGCATAAGGTTGCCACCTCAAGGTGGTGGCTGGAGATCCCTCACTATTACAACTGATCTCCGGGTAACAGATACCAGTTCATCCGGAGAAAACAGCCTCTTTGGAAGGTGGACTCTATGGCATTATGCTCCACTGACATCCCTCCCCTCCCCAAACCCTCAGTCTCCACCCCCCAAATTTCCAGGTATTTCTCAGCCCAGAGCTAGCAACCCTGGTCCTGCAGGTGGGGCCTGGAGATCTCCCGGAATTACAACTGATCTCCAGACGACCTGGTTAAAATGACAGCTTTGGAGGGTGGACTCTATGGCATTAATACACTGCTGAGATCCCTCCCCAAACCCTGCCCAGGTCTGCACTGCCAAATCTCCAGAAATTTCCCAATCCAGACCTGACCACCCATGAAGGGCAAACAGCTACCAGGATTTCTGGATTATTTATTTCAGTTTATATTCCTCCCTCCCCGCAATTGGGCTCAGGGCGGATCACAAAGCAGATTCTAAAACACAACAGATACAATATTACAGAATAATTAAAAACAATTTAAAAAAACATAATGTAAAACAGGTTACACTATTTGTCTCTGTGCAAAGTTTCCAAGCTGGTGCCCGCTGGGTCTCCAAGATCTTCTTAATCCAGGCTGCTTAGAGGTGGTGAATTTCAGCAGGGGAGGCCAGGTTTTTCTTGGATGCCAAAGGCCTGGCCGGAACTGCAGGGAAGAGGAGAATGAAGGCCTGGCTAACACGCCTCGTCAGTGACTGTGCCAGACGAGGCCTGAGATGGTTCTTTTTGTCCTTCCAGTGCTGGGAGACTTCAGTGGGGCAGGAAATGTACAAACTGTTGATCTTTGACCTGCTGATCATGTTGCTCGTGGTGGTGTTTGTGGAATTTCCAAGAAAGTAAGTTTTGTTACCCTTGTGTCATAGGAGATGGGCTTAAGGTTGTCTTCTAGCCAGGATGAAACCCTCTGATTTAGGATTTGGGGGAAGGGTTGACATTACTCTTTGGTAAGCATGGATTTAGCTGTTCTCCCAAGATGTTTACAGAAACACATGGTCGAAAGGAATTTAAACCCTGTCTAGGCAGTTGGCATTGCCCACAAGCCTGCAGAAAAATGTCCTTTTCTCTTTGATAGAAGCTTCCTGGGATGTTGTTTACCCCCATGCCATTTAAAGCGCTAGTGGCTCATTTCTACACATTGTGTGTGTGTGTAAAGTGCCATCAAGTCACAGCCAACTTATGGCGACCCCATAAGGTTGTCAAGGCAAGAGATGTTCAGAGGTGGTTGGCCACTGCCTGCCTCGGCACGACCCTGGACTTCCTTGGTGGTCTCCCATCCAAATAGTAACTAGGGCTAACCCTGCTTAGCTTCTGAGATTTGAAAGATCGGGCTAGCCTCTATTAAAGGGAAAGGACGTTTTCCTCTAGGCCTGTTGGCAACCATAGCATTGGTCCAATTCCAAAGCCCAAAACAAAAGCATCGTGATACCTTTTGTTAAGACTAACCCAACCAAATCCAAAAACAGTGTATAAGCTTTTGGGTGCTCCAGAACTCTTCATCCGGTTGGAACAAAAAAGATGACGGGGAGGACCCTTTCAGTGAGCACAGGGTGTGGCTAGCTAGTATCAGACTGCACTCTGGCACACTTGCAAGGAAAAATGCAATTAACCCTTTGAAAATACAAAAAGCAGAGGCTGGCCCGATGCTTCTCTGAGGGCCAAACAACACATTTGGGTTTTTAACCAGTTGGGATTCCCCAGGCTCGAATGGTACCCCGCAGCCTCACAGCAGCTGAGCACTACCCTCATCGTGGTGGGCAGGGCTCCTAGGGAAAGGAGTTTGTAAGCCGCTCTGAGACACCTCTTGCATCATTGCTGCTGGGAAGACTGCTACTCAAGACATCTCCTTTGGAGCTGTGAGTCGGTCAGGGTCAGTGTCTAGAGGCTAGTTAGTTAGGTTTATTGTTTCATCTTTGTCTCATTGTACACAGTGGGACTCAACTGTGCGACTGAACAACAACAACACTCCTGTCCCCTACTTGTGTGTTTTTATATATGTTTATCTTTTGTAAATTAATTCCTAGATTCTGTTTTAATCATTCTTGTAAATTACTGGTCCAGAACCCAGGTTCACTTTTATTCCAGTGCCACAAATGTACACTACCAAAAAGATTATTTTCCAGTTGGACATATCTAAAATTCCTTTTATTTCCTATCACCTCAGCCGATTGAGATTGAGGGGGCACCCCAATGCCGTGACAGGGGGTTATTTCCCTGCTTTTGCTACTCCACGTGGAGTAGTCTCGGCACACAGAGCAGCAAAAATGGGGAAACAACTCCCCTACGATGCTGTTTTGGTACGGGAAAATGGCAGGAGATCTTTCCCACCGCCATCATGGTGGTGTTCCGAGCCCATTTGGACTCTCCTTTATATTTGTTAAAAACCCATTCCCCGCAACTTGTTGAAAACCCAAAGTTATCATTTGGCCCTGACAACAGACAGAACCTGTGGACCCCTTAAAAGTCTGAGAGCCACGGAAAAACATGGTAGTCCTTGTATTGACAATGCTGGAAATTAATTTTAGTTGGTGCGCCAGCGTCGAAAATCAACAGAACTTTTTGTTTCATCCAACTAAGGCTCAAGAGCCCTTGTTGCGCTTTCCCCCACATCAGTGACGTTCAAGAGAAACTCGCAGCGACTAGAATAAACATTCTTCCCCATTTTATCCCACAGGGGCAGCATTCACAAAAAAGCACAAGAGGCGTTCAAGTGTGCTTTCAGTCTTAAGCATGAAATATCAGTTTCCCTAGCGGCAGCCATAGATGGGTCTGAGGCACTTGGATTCTGGAATTGCACAAGACAGACTTCAGTAAAGGACAAAGGGCCCCTGAACATATGAAGCCTTCTTGTACCACCAATCCCTCTAGTTCAGTGTTCACTACTGTGTCATGCCGCAGCTCTCACTTAGCACAATCTGCATCTGCTCATTTTCCTCCTTTGCATTCCAGGATGCTGGTGACATATTTACCCTCCTGCCCATTAGTAAAATTATGGGGGCAGCAAGAGTTCATGGTGCCTTCCAATGTCCTGGATCTGGTGTACGGACAGACCTTGTGCTGGACGGGCGCTCTCTTCTGCCCCCTGCTGCCTGTACTCAACACTCTAAAATATATTGTGGTCTTCTACCTGAAAAAGGTGAGTCGTGGGTGGAGATGTGCTCGGGAGCAAAGACTTCTGGGTTCCTTACAAAGAGAGCATGTGCCCTGATGGGGAGAAGCTGGGAACGGTACACATTAAGAGAGGGGATTTGGGGGTCTCGTGCACTGTTTTCAAACTTCCTACCTTCAGGAAACCCTTTCCACATTGACATCTGCTGAGAAAGCCTTGCCTCTCCGTGAGGGCATCCCCGCACATTTCAGGGTATTCTGAGGCATTTTCTAGATGAACTCAGACCTGGCCTACACCATGCGGCAGAATAAGGTGCTTAAATTCGGAAAGAAACAGAATGCGTTCTGTCACTTCAGGCGCCACATTTTAATATTCCCCTGCGCATAAAAAACACAACAAAAATAAAATATCTCTGGGTATGTGGAAAACCAGAACAGCAAGGAAAAAGCAAGGCTGGAAACTTTCCTCTTGATGCACTCTTCTTTACTTAAAAGGAACGCTTGCTATCCTCACTGATAAGAGCCCCTGATAACCCCCAGAGTTGCCTGGAGACTTGCAGTCTATTGGGCTGTGTCTGCCAAAACAGAAGTCCTCACCAGTATCTTAAATGACAGCCAGATGGTGCTCCTTTGGTGCTTCCTCTCCCGTTGCTACTCACCGTGATTCTATCTGGAGCAGGGCCTTAGAAGATGACTTGAGTGTTTGGGTAGATCGATTGCACCTCATTCTAGGAGTTAATTATGTTAAAAGATTCTCAGCTTCTCTTGGCAATGGGGTATGAACTAGGTCTCTTGAGCTCTTACTTACCCCGTTGCCTATTTTCTTCCTCCTCCTTTCTAGCTAACCCTCTATGCCAACTGCCAGCCGGCCGAACGGACATTTCGGGCCTCCAGCTCCAATTTCTTTTTCCTGTTGGTTTTGCTCTTGGGTCTGACTATTTCTTGTGTCCCGGCCTTATACAGCATGTTTGCGTAAGTATAAGACCCTTGCCCAGTCTCTCAGCTGAGAATTCCAGACAGGAGTGGGGTGGAGGGAGGAAAAGGCCGGTACCTTTTTGGGGAGGGGTAGAGAAGCAAAACCAGGTGAGACTCAAGACCCAGAGGGACAACTGTAAGCCGTAGCCGCAAATCAGAGGCATTTGAGACAGATGTCCTCCACCCTATGTGGAGAGCCATCTCCAGCCCTGCTTCATGTCTATGGAATCGACTGTTCGACCATCCTTAGCCTGATGTCTCGATCATTCAATCTAGGCAAGTGCTGGTGGCAGCTGCAGTGGGAATGGGGAGCTCTGATGCCTGTAAGAGCTGCTGCATGATGGGCCGTTGTTATTTTTCTGGTTGCCTCACAAATATTAAAGGCACAGAAGCTCTGCCGGGGGGGGGAGGCACAACTTGCTGCCTACCCTGAACCTTTGACCCAAAGTGGAATCCAAGTTCCAATAAACGAATCCTCTTAGTTAAGTGTGCGGACTCTAATCTGGGAGAACCAGGTTTGATTCCCCACTCCTCCACTTGCACCTGGCTGGATGACCTTGGGCTAGCCGTAGTTCTGGCACAGCTGTCCTTGAAAAAGAGCAGTTTCTGTCAGAGCTCTCTCAGCCCCACCTACCTCACAGGGTGTCTGTTGTGAGGAGGGGAAGGGAAAGGAGTTTGTAAGCCGCTCTGAAACTCCTTTGGGTAGTGAAGGGCGGGGTATAAATCCAATCTCTCTTCTTCTTCTTCTTCTGCCAAGAGGGTAATGGTTGGCTTTGGCTGTCATTCCATGGCTTTTGGTGGTCACTGGAGATGCTGCTCACCAGTGTAGTTGGCAAGAAATTATTTTCTTGTAATTTTACCATTTGGGTTAAGCCTCCTTGAGCTAGGCTATATGATTATAAAACTGTAATAAATGAATACGTCTCTTTCATTCCCCCTAATGCTTCAGTTATGTCCCTGTCCTCCCTCTCCTACAGTATGTCCCCTTCAAAAGCCTGTGGCCCATTTCGAGGTGAGCCCACCATGTGGAACACAGTCTCCAGTGCTATTTCTGAGCTGCCCCCTACTGCCCAGGAATTCCTGGAGTTTGTAGGCTCTCTGGCCTTTGCGGTGCCCTTGTTCCTGTTGCTGAGGTGAGAGGGTCACTGGGGTGGACATCTGGGTTCTGGGAAATGGGAGCGGGAGGGAGCAGAGAGAAGGATGCCTGGATTTCTGCATCCTAGGGACAGAAGCACACATACTGACACCGTGCTGTTCTCCCCATCCCCTCTCCTTTGCCTTTTATTTCATCTTCAAGCATCGTCATGTTCTACCTTGTGGCGCTCGCTGGCTCGTACAGCACCATGGTCAAAGGTCTGAAAGCGCAGCTCCAGCTGGTGAGTGGCTGACAAGAAGTATCATGGAGAGTGGGCAGGAAGCAGAAACCAACCTCTTGCATTGGCTGGTTCAGGACCACAAACTGCCAAATGGCTGGGGTCTGACATGGGTGGCCACCAAAATGGTCACAGTTTAGGCACGTGATACTTTAATCCTTGCTTTCCCAAATAGGAGGGATGGGTTGGACTTCTGCTTTAGGCCTTCTCGCCAGTCAGACTAAACAGGATTAAGCTTAGATGGAGCACAATCTGAAATGATGTGAGGAAAATTTCTTCTATCTGTCACTACCCTTCACCATTTTAAAGCCACTTTCCAAGTTGTTTTTGTGACTGGACTTCCCTAAAGATTAAGAGTAAGTTTACCCCCCCCCCCCCACTCATCAGTTCTGATTTTGAGAGAACCGAACAACACTAGACCTTTTCTCTATGGACAACTGCAAAATGAGAGAATTTTTCAGTATAAAGGAACAATACTGGGGGGAAAATGCTTGGTAACATTTGGTCCCACTAGCCTAATATGGAATAGTGGGGAAGATGAAATTTAGTTTCTTTCTTTCTAGCTTTTCTCTCTCTTCCTCATACTCAGGAGGGTCAGGACAAGCTTTTCTTAGTGAAGCAGATCTCTGAGTTGAGCCAATGAAGCAGAAGAATGGATGACAAGATATATATCCTCCTTACCAGAAGGAACCAGAAGGATACCATTGATTTTTACTGTATCGATTCTGCTCTCACGCCCTCCAGTTCTGCTTCTGGATGCAGCCTACTGTTCTTCCTAAATTCTCTCGACAGTTCTCCATCCAGTTGAAACTGTTCTACAACAATGCATTTTTAATGCCGTCTACTGAGGAAAGCATTATAATTATTTGAGTTAGAACTGACATGCATCTGACTCTGAGAACAATGTCTGATTTCAAATATTATGAAATGTCAGGATTTTAAGGGGAATTTGCATTTCCACAGGGGAATATAAGATTTTTATGGGTAAAAAGTCAAATTTTGGCTTTTAAAGGTAAATTTGAATGTTACTTTTAAAAGACACATTATGCAAATATTGCTACATCAATAGCTGATTAAGAACATTTGTTAAAATATGACTCTGTATTATGTAAAATTTCTACAATAATTCTCTGGGGCTTATTTCAAAGTAGTGAGAAAGCCAGACTGATGTAGACCCAGCTTCAAATCCCCATCATGAAACAGGTTGAGTGACCTTGGGGCAGTAATTTTCTCTCAGACTAACCTACCTAACAGGGTGGTTGTGAGGATAAAATGGAGAATGCTGCCTTGAGCTCTCTGAAGGAACGCTGGCACAAAAATTAACTCATGAATTAAAATAAACATGCCTAGGATTGGGCTTGTTGTTATATTGGGGCGGGGGGCGCGTTCCCAATTAGGCTTGGGTTTGGAAAGCAGGCATTTGAACTTTCTTCTTAGTTCAATGCCCCTGCAAGCTACCTCTCAGCAGCCTGAGGTCCAGTATGTAACATGGGGATACCACCAGCCCAACTTGAAGGGTTGTCATAGGGTTTACTGAATGTACTGAAGCACTTTCAACCATTGCAGAAAAAATAAAATATTGTTTATACATTGCCAGTAATACAAATTATTGTGTGAAGTTGCAGAACATTTTACAGTCTTTACATTAGAACTGCAAGAGCCTGACCCTGAGGCAGATCCTTTCCTATCAGACCTGCACAGAATTTTACTAGGTGTCCCTCATTAGACCGCTGATCAAAATGTCCCTTCTATATAATTCCCAAGTTACCGAAGGAGCCGTCCCCATTTAGGGAAAAAGCTTCAATTTGATGGTAAGAATTTTTTAAACGTCATATACTGGAGTCATTCAAACTAAAATTACCTGTTCTGTTAGTCAAAGTGATGTAAGAGCCATGCACCATACCACGGTGAAACTGAAGTCCACCGCCTCCACGCTAAAATAATTCCAACAAATGGCCCATCTTATTAATCAGTATGGAGAGGACTAAGTCTGCATCAGTCAATACGAAACGGTGAAATGATCACCAACCAATCACAATATGAGTTGGAGGACGTCACAAGCGTCTTTGCCCCCCCCCCAACCTGAAGGGCGGAGACAAGTTGCAGCCAATCGAAGAAGCGAAGGCGATTGAGGAAGCGGAAATTAAGGGGAAGCTGAGTGGGACTCCGAAACAAAAACAGCTATGAATATCCTTCCGAAGAAATCGTGGCATGTGAGAAACAAGGACAACGTAGCTCGAGTGCGGCGGGACGAAGCGGAGGCCGAAGCCCAGCGACAAAGGCGGGAAGCCCGAGTCCTGCTTGCGGAACAGGAGGCGAGTAGCCGTTACCCCGCATGCGCCACCTACCTCGTATTTGTGCGCGGCTGCAGAAAATAGCTATTGCGCATGCGTTTGCTCCCAACAGGTTATCCTGTGTGGACTGAACCATAGTCGTAACGGGGGTGTGAAGGACTGCCGTTATTTAGTTCCCTATTTAAATGCTAATATCCCTCCAGAGAGTCCAAAGTGGTATATATGGGAGGAGAGTAGAACGATATAAGCCGCTTTGGATCCCCAGTGAGGAGAAAAGTGGCATAAACGAAGTAAAGTAAAATAAATAAAAATTATATACAGGTTGGGTGACTTTTCCCCCTCACAACAGCCCTGTGGGGGAGGTTATCTTTAAGTGAGTAGCCCAAGGCTACCCTGTTAATTTAATGGCTGAGCAGAGATTTGGGCAAATGAGACTGACACTTTGGGCGGCTAGTTTGAATCCTGTGGAACCCTAAAACAAGAGCACGTTTTCATTTCAACATCAATTCTTGTGGGTTTCTGCACACTTCCACTGATGAATCTAAACATTTGTTGGTTTTTGAGGTGCTCCAGAGATGGACCATTCCTAGCATCTGCTACTAGAGGCTTGTTAGCTGGAGATGCCAGGGATTGAACCTGAATGCGTCTACATACAAAGCAGGGGCCATGGTCCCTCCCTTCAACCCAGCTTTCCTGCCCCTTCCACTTGAACCTCTACACTGGCTATCTTGCTGTGGCGCTTAAAATCATGAGGTTCCTCATTCTTAAACATTTGTATTGCACTTCAGTGGGTTGGTGATAGGGAGGGAGATAGAAAGAGCTTATGCCACAGGAAATCTATCTGTCACCAAGATGCTAGTGTGGTGTAGTGATTGAGAGTGGAGAACTCTAATCTGGAGAACCAGGGTGGATTCCCCACTTCTCCACATGAAGCCTGCCGGGTGACCCTGGGCCATTCACAGTTCTCAGTGCCCCACCTACTTCCCAAGGTGCCTGGTGTGTGGAGCGGAAGGAGATTGTAAGCCGCCTTGAGACTCCTTAATGTAGAGAAAAGCGGGGTATTAAAAACCAACTCTTCTTCTAAAAGCCGTCATTTTCTGTCTTGTGCCCATAAGCCCCATGTTTCCATTCAACTGCTTTTCTTTTGAAGTCTTAGGTGCTTGGAGGAAAGATGGCAGGGCCTCTGCTTCCCTAATGCTGTTAGAGAGATGTTTTCTCTCTCCAGCTGTGTAAGAATATAGCCAAAACTGATTGAACTGAAAAGTGCCAAGTCTATGGGAGGGATCCCTTGGGGACTGTTTCTTCATTCAATATTATTTTCTGGTTCTCTTAGCATCCTGTGCGCCCAGAATATTGACAGGCTTGTTTTGAGTTGGCTCTCTTACAGTGAACTACAGCCTTCTATTTATATTTTTAACTTTGCTCTTCAACACAAAATTGGCTCCAAGGAGCAGCTGACACCAATTTTAATCCAATACATTTGATGACGAGACTCATGTTTAGCAGAGGTAACTGTGGAGATGGCACTACAGGCAAAAGGATGCTCCTTTAGGACCACATTTATTTGTTCGAGAGTTTGGTGTAGTGGTTACGAGTGCGGACTTTAATCTGGGAGAACCAGGTTTGATTCCCTGCGTCTCCACATGCAGCTGCTGGTGTGACCTTGGGTCAGTCACAAGTTCTCAGAGCTGTTTTCTCAAGAGCAGTCCTTGAAAGAGCTCTCTCAGCCCCACCTACGTTACAGGGTGTCTGTTGTGGGTAGGGGAAGGGAAAGGAGATTGTAAGCCACTCTGAGTGAAGGGTGGGGTATAAATCCAGTCTCCTTTTCTTCCGCCTCTTCCTTGTAGGCTCGGACTGAATTCTTGCGTAAGAAAGCACGCCTGTCAGCCCCAGGAAGCGACAGCAGTAGCTCAGACCTCCTGGCTCTTGGCTCAGAAGGGTCCTCACAACACATCAACCTTTTCCACGAATCACAAGAGGGCGGAAACAAAGAACATGAGGAGGAGAAGAGGCAAGAGAAGGTAAAGGGAAGGGGGGACATGAGAGAAGCAGGATCAAGCAGGCTTTGTTCCCTGCAGCTACCAGCTCAGTAGCCAAGAGCGCTTGGGCCTAGCCAGGCAGCACTACCCAGTGTCCCAAAAATGGAAATTACTTGGAGTTGAGGTGGTCTGGTCTGTCTGGGCAGGAGGAAAAAACAGGGCTTGTTACATAATACTCTGCTATTTGTATATCCTTTGAATAAGTTAGTTGGAGCCCTTTTTCACTGTTTTGATAAGTATAATCCAGACTTCAATGTCCTTTATGCTGTTTTCCTGTAAGCATGTGCACACCTCTGTGTTTTATTCTAGATTTAACCAGTTTATTAACTCCAGACGAGTGTACATTTCTTCATTTTATAGGGCGAGCTGCAGGCACTGCAATGCAAATTTGGCACCTATTTAACCAGCTTTTCATACTACTGGCTGGAGGAAGCTAGAATTTTCCACCCACCCCCTTCCAGTAGAAGCCGATTGGTTAAGCAGGAAGATCTTAATTGGAGTTAGTCTGCGACTGTAAAGAACCTGAAGGAGAAAGGCTGTTCCAGTTCAAGATGCCATGAATGGTCTAGGAAATACTGTCACATAACAAGTGGTAGATCTGATAAATGCCTGGATGAAAGTCTGTTGGAATCTTCTCTGAGCTTGGTTAAGGGCAGAAATAAACGTACACTCTGAAACTACACAAATGGTTCACGTGTAACACTTCGGCACATGTTGGGAGGTACAGTTGGGTTGTTTGTACTTCTCCGCAGGAGCGACAGGAAAAGGCTTTGGGGATCCTCACTTACTTGGGCCAGAGCGCAGCAGAGGCCCAGACTACTCGGCCTTGGTACCAGGAACCCCCAGAACGCAGTGAGGCTGTTGCCAAGGATGTGAAGCTGAAAGGGAAGCTGGACCCTCTGGTCGAGATGGAAAGGCATCTGCGTAAAAAGAAGAGCTCCCAGAAGGAAGGGAAGAAAGGGAAGCAGAAGGAGAGCAGAGGGAACTTGGCAGTAGGGTATGTGCTGCTGGTATATATAATAGCATTTGCCTGTTTAGAGGGCGCATGGGAAGGGCTGTATGCTTCCCATCCCACCAGCATCAAACCAGCCTGTGGAGGGAAATTTAGGTAATGCACGCCTTGGGAGAGTCTTGTCCTTCCTGAACACAGTAGTGTATGATCAGGGCTAAATGGCTCTTAAGATATTTCTCAGAAAAAAAGTACTTGAGGACAAAATCCTCTCCCCACCCCCACCCCAAAAAAAGGGGCATTGATACAAAACAAGTAACCAGATGCTTTGTGTTGCATCTGCATTCCACTCCCAAAGACTGGGTAAACAGTTTGTTGACAAATGAAAGGAGCTCTTGCTCTTCTGCTAAAAGTAGGAGGTGGTAGGGATCCCTGACATTGGCTAGCAGGAAACTGCCAGGAATACCTCCCTGTAGTCCACTGCCATGAGGACTTGCCAGGAAGAAGTGAGGGCGGGGGGTGTATGCTATTTTTTTCATATTGACACCTTCCTGTAATATCCAGAGCTGTTAAATCCACTCTCAAAATGGAACTAATTGCGTTTTGGGTTCATATCAGTGATGAAAACCGTGCTATGGCCAGTTGTGAAAAACATGTCACTGACCACCTATACTCAAAACAAATCCAAGCTAACATTGATTTTGAACGTAACTCTTCCCTGTTTTCTGCCTTCTTCCTGAAGGTTATAGGTGGCAAGGATTGGGGAACTTCTCTACGTCCAGTGTGGGCTTTGACTTCTAACCCCCCCTTCTCCCTTCTACAGGACGTCATCTCTATCAGCATCATCCTCTGCTCTGGAGAAGCTACGGCAGGAGCGGCTGCGTCGCGAGCAGGCAGAGCGAGCCCGGGCAGAGGCCCTTCTGGCCCAGAAAGCCGGAACATTCCTTCCTGGGGAGGCAGAGGAGGAAGTAGATGAAAGGAAACGTGGCTACAACTCTCAGTTCCACCCGCAGCTGGCAAGGAAGAGGGTCTGGGAGCCACAGTGAGAGAAGCCCTGCTTGTGCAGTGGCAGTCCTGGAGAGACCTGTTGGTGCCATCTTCTGCTCTGGGAGGCCAAAGGAGGCAGCTTTTTTCATCATCCAAGACTGCCTGAGGTGGGACAGTGAGCGAACATCTGTTCACCTGTTGCTACGGACAGCAGCTTTAGAAGCCTCACAGGGCTGAGGAAGACTTCAGTGATGAGGTTCATACCACAGTTGTGTGTCACACACCTTCCCCATAAATGGGGCTACGCTACAGCTGCCACAAACCTGTCTTTGGTACCAGTGTAGCACCACACAAGAACAGGGAGACAGTCAAGTTCCTGACAGGTTACAACACATGACGTGATGCCTGGTGGGTTTCAGGTTTTGTATGTCTACCCTTGATTCTGACTGTAAATGGCAAAAACAATATATCAGCTTCCTAAGAATTGGTCATTGTGGGGGTATATGAAGCATAATTATATAAAAACAGAACAGCTTACCTTTAAGATTCAGATTTCCTTGTGCAAAGGAAAGACAGAGCCGCCAAAGTACTTTGTCTCTGTAAAATCTTGGGACTTAAACAGGAAGGTTGCTGGCTCGAGATACAGTGGTAAGCTCTGAAAGCTGGGGCTGCCTACAGCCACTCCCAGCTGATACTCAGCTGTTAGGAAGGAGGGAAGAAGCAGAAGTACCCACACGCAAGGGAGGACTGCTGAAATCTGGCAAATTCACGTAATTCCACCATAGCCAGGGTGAGAGAGGAAGAACCCAAGGTAGGTTTGCCATGTGCATGGCTTAGTAAAAAGGAATGGTAGGGGCCTAAATGCGGGTCTAGATGGGGAGGTCTTTGTCACCAGTTGACCTAATCAGTTGGGAACAGGAGGGAACAGACCTGACCCATTCCCCACTTGCCAGCCTTCGACACAGGCATTCCCTGTGCTGAAGGGAAGGAGGTCTACTCAGGAACCAAAAGGTTAGGCTACTAGAAAATAACATCCAAATAGTTCTTGCACAGAATCTTAGGATTAAAAATGACGTAGGGTACCATTAAAAGCTCAGATCATGATATACGGCAACAAGGTGAAGTTGCACATCCAATAACAAAGAATCACAATAATGGTTACACATGTATATTAACCAAAGAGTGGTCAACATTGTACTAATTATACTAAAACTATAACAATATCAAATATCTTTTTCAGGCCCAGCAGGTTGTGCATGAGTCACTAAACAAAGTGAAGCTCCTAGCAATGGGTTTAAATCAATTGTGTGTATACCAGGTTTACACATGAACACCCACTGGGAATTGAATTACGGCCCAGGACAGAATGCTGGTTCCTAGTGGCTATCTTTGGTGAGTGAGGGCTCCTCAATATATACAGAATTGATTAAAAATCATTGCTAGGAGCTTCACTTTTTTAGTGACTCATACACAACCTGTGGGGCCTGAAAAATGTATTTTATATTGTTACAGTTTTACATGTGTGTTAGTACAATTTTGACCACCAAAGAAGGCTCTTTAGATTGAAATGCTTTGGGGTCCTTTGACTTATATACATGTGTAACTGTTACGGGACATGCAATTTCACCTTGTTGCTGTATATTATGATCTCAGTTTCTAATGGTACCCTATGTATGTCATTTTTAATCCTAAAACTATGTGCACTGTGTTATAAATGTTTGCATTTTATTTTCTAGCCACTCAATCTTTTGGGACTTGATTTTCACATTGGGTTTTTCCCCCCTTTCGTCTTTCGCTGGGAAGACTGGTGTACTTATATGCCACATTTTCCTACAACAAATTAAAATGATGATGCTTCTCCTTAAATAAAAGTTTCCCCTTCAATGTTAGGGGGGACTGTTTAGACCTGTAATCTCACAACCCTCATCACTAGAAGCAGTACAGCTATCTCCAGTACAGGCGTTTAACTTAAAGCTGTTAGGTACACTGTCCTCCTCTTGGTACTGCCACAAAACAGAAGGACTAGCAGGCGTTCCCACCCCGGGTACTTCCACTTCTCTCCGCCAGGCGTCCTCCCCTGTCATGACAGAGTGCTGATCATCCATGTATTGAACAGGCCAGAAAGTAACCACTGCCAAGGAGCCTGTGCCCGTCTTACCCTGCTAAACTTTGCCTACCCTAACCTGAAGAGTGCCCAACCTGTGCACAAGAAAAGGATATTTAGTTTCATTTGAAGGTCTTACTCCTGATATATGCTTAGACAAATGTAGGGAATGGCAGCTGAGCAGCTGAATAAGGCTTGGGGGAGGGGGCTTATTCTAACGTTGCTTTATGGGCAGGGGCTTATTCTAATATTGCTAATCTGAGGGAAGCTGTGATGAGATAGTGCCAAGAGCATACACCTGTGCTTTATTCAAACCGGTCACAGCCTTCAGCTTTTCCCGGCACAGCAGAGTGTTTGCAGACTTTGCTATGGAGAATGTTTGAGTGGGGTAGTGAAGGTCAAAGAGGACCTTCTGGGTGGGCTGCGCCAGGTCACCCTGCGCTATTAAGGCAAAGCCATTTAGGCAGGAAAAGTCTAGAGTCATACATGCCATCAACTGCAGTGTAAAAACTGGTTTTCCATTCTTAGCATCAGCGCAAGATATATATTCTTTCTCACTACCATGATGCTGAGGCCTACAGCAGTGGCCAAGGGTAGCTTTCAGTTTTCCCTGCAAGTCCAGGCTAGGTGTTAAGATGATTCTGCTGTCTTGGTCAGTCAGCCACAGCTCTTACCTCTTTAATATGGAAGGGGGTGGGGGGAGATGAAAGGTTATAAACCGAGTTAGGATCCTTTTACCATCTTTGTCTCCCCCGACCCAGACTCACATACACACACACAGCCTTTTTTTTTTGTCTCCCGTTTCTCTGCAAGAGAAGAACACTCATATAAAACTATTTATTCATAAATATTTTCCAAAACGAAAATAGGCTTACGAAAAAATATCTTAAACAGCGGCATGGGCGGGGTGCTCCAGTTCAGGGGGGGGTGGATGAGAGATGGGAGTGAAACAGCTGTCTTCCCCCTCCCCCTGCTCTTCCTTCCCTTCTCCCCCCCCCCAAACAAATCTTTCCCCCTCCAATCAGGAATACATTGCAAGTAATCAAGGAGGGAGGGTGTGTCTTTGGGAGGAGTAGTGGGTGACATTATGAGCTCGGATACCAAATTTAAGGGGGGGGCGGCGTAATGAAATTGGGAAAACTTGGGGGAGGAGACAAGCAGCACTGGGGGACTCCCTTAAGACAGAGCGGCAGTAAGGGAAATGAATTTAGAGGATTCCTCAAACCCGGAAATATACGGAGTTCTTCCAAGCCAAGGCAGGATGAGGGCAGAGGGACAGTGCAGCCCCCAGCCTTCCCCCATCACCACTCAAGGAGGCAAAGTTGTTCACAGAAGGTGCCAGTCCTCAAGAGCACCTGATGTCGAGTGCTGTTTTTATCCTTTACCTCTTTTCCAATTTTCAGCAGTGACAAGTTGGCACGGCTGGAAGGGAGCTTTCCTCCGTGGCTCCCAACACTCCCAACTTTAAATGACCCTCCTGGGGCCCTGCACCCTCCATATCACGTACATATGGGGTCAAATTGGCACAGAGATGTGGGGGGGGGGCATATTCCATATTTGCTACAATGGAGAGGGGCACAAATGATCTAATTTGGGACATGCACCCCAGGAAAAAAATATTGGAGATTGGGGGGAATTATGTTTTTTAATCTCCATTCTCTCGCCCCCAAAGCTGGTGCACGCAGGGCAACTCCCCCCCCTTTTCTGACCTCTTCGAATGCATTATAGGCTGAAGAGGATAAGGGAAAGGCAGGAGCGAATCCTGCCGCCGCCACTGCCCCTCCTCCGTCCCGCGGTCACTTTAAAACTTGCATGCATTTTTTTTAAACGTGCGGCTCACCCCCCCCATGCCCCCCCAGGTTGTGATCTGGGATGGGGGTGGGGGGAAGTGGGGTGAGATGAAGGGACTGGTTGGTCTCTCCCTTGGCCGCTGCTCCTTGCGCACTGCAGTTATTTCAGGAAGGAAGGCTTGGCACCCCCTGCTGGCCCCAGGGCATCACTGCAGGTCCCGGTCTTCCAGGTAGCGGTATTCAAAGGTGAAACCCTCCTTTTTGCGCTGGCCCCATTTCTCATAGTCAAAGTAGATGTAAGTGCCCTAGACAGAAGCAGAACAAAATCAAACTTTCTCTGTTGGGTTGCTCCGGTGTTCTGCTTTTCAGTATGAAGTGGCTTTTGAGTTTACTAGATGCAGAAAGCTCTAACCAAACTGGGAGTTCAAATACTTTTATTTTACAAAATTTATATCCTGCCTTTCTGCCACCAATAACCCAGCTTGACCGCCCACACCCATCTCCCCCACAGGTGAACAGAGAAACTAGGAGGAAGAGGAAAAGTACACATCTGTTTAGGTTTCCAACTTGGATAGAACTCAGGTTTTTCCCCTTCTAATTTTTTTTGGGGGGGGTTTAACGAGGCCCAGTAGGGTGTTACTGTGTGGCTGTTCCAAACCCAGCTGACACATGCCCTGCATTTGCAATGAGCAAACACAACAAAGCAACATGCAGAAGCTCACAAAGTTCTCATTTAACTTTTAAGGCATTCTGATTGGAGAGGGGCTGGTGACTACAGAAGTAAGGTGGTCAGCTGCTATCTGCAGAATGCTTTGGATTTTTGCAGGGACAGCATTTGTTCCTTTCATCTGGCTACCCCTATGGTGCCCCCCATAAGAAGAGCCCTGCTGGATCAGACCAGTGGTCTGTCTAGTCCGGCATCTGGTCTCATACACTGGCCAACCAGTTCCTCTGGAGGGCCAACAACACATACACAACCCTTCTCTACAGCATTCTTCCTATTAATGGGGAAGGGAGGTGTGGGAGGAAGGAAGACACTGCGTGGAACCTGTTGGCTGTGGTATGAAACAGGTAATGCTATAAGCCCCTGCACTTGCTGTTCTGAAGCCACCTCCTCCCCTGCCTTACCTGCTCGAATTCGTCAGTGATGGTCTTGGGTTCTTCGTGTCGCTGGAACCACATCATGTACTTGGTGTGGAAGCGCCACGACTGCTTCTTCAGTGCCTTCGCTGCCAGATATTGTGCCTTTGTACCCTTCAAAGTTGGGGGGGGGGAAGAATGAGGGCGAGGGGGTGTGAGATCCATCAGGGACAATCCTCACAAACAGAATAACCCCAATGAGAAAAAAAGGCGCCTTGTCTCTACCAAAGGAAGACGGAAAGTCAGCTACTCACCTCCAGATAATAGAAGATGAAGAAAAGGGTCTCTGTGGAGAGGCGCTGGTAGAACTCCACCGTGTCGGAGTGTGGGGGAGGCATCTGGTGGTGGTATGGAGGGGTTGGGCAGGGGTTCCGAGGCAGGTATTGCCTAAAGGGGGTGGGGGGTGGGTGGAGAACAAAACAGGGAGAGACGTCTGAATGAATGAGTCCGCAAGGAGGAAAAAGGCCCTTGGCTCTCAGATCTATCCCAAGGGGGAAGATCAACAGAAGAGCAAGACTGGAGCCCAGAGGCACCTTCGAGACTAACGAGATATCGGGGGTATAAGCTTTTGAGAGATACCTAACAAAAGGGAGCTTGGAGCCTGGAAAGCTTCCATCCCAAAATCTTTGTTGGCCTCGAAGGTGCTACTCGAATCTTGTTCTGCTGCTGCAGGCTGACATGACTTTTGAGACTGACAGACAGCGGTCAAAGACACAGGCGCATGCAGCTGGCGAACTGACGGGCCCGGGACAAGTCACAGTCAACAGTTACTCTCTTTGCCAGGGACCCAGGAAAAATCATTAGCCAAGCCCCAGAATATTGTAAGAAGAAGAAGAAGAAGAGATTGGATTTATACCCCGCCCTTCACTACCCAAAGGAGTCTCAGAGCGGCTTACAAACTCCTTTCCTTTCCCCTCCCCACAACAGGCACCCTGTGAGGTGGGTGGGGCTGAGAGAACTCTGACACAAACGGCTCTTTTTCAAGGATAGCTGTGCCAGAGCTTGTGACTGACCCAAGGTCACACCACCAGCTGCATGTGGAGGAGTGGGGAATCAAACCCGGTTCTCCCAGATTAGAGTCCGCGCACTTAACCACTACACCAAACTGGCTCTTTTATCCAGCCTTTCCACCCAATTAAGGCCCTCAGGGCAGAAAACAACTTTTAAGAACGTTTAAAAACCAACATCTAAAAGGTAAAAAAAAAACCCAAAAAACATACACAGGAGGGAGGGAATGCCAGAGAGGAGTCCTCCACTGGCAGGAGGCAGGCGACGGAGGAGGAGAGGTGGGACGCAGACCCTCCTTACCTGATCCTTTCTGAATCAGAGGGGTGAGGCATGTGGTGCCAGGCCGCCTCCTCCATGACCTGTTGGTACAGCTGCTCCTTGGTGAGAGGCACGGGCCCCAGGGGGCACACCCCGAGCGAAAGGGGGATGTTCACCTCAGATAGCTGGATGGGGGGCTGGTTGGAGGCCGGCTGGGAGGTCGCGCTAGTAATTAAGATGTCAGCTGGGGGAGGAAATGGGAGGAAAGGAGAGAGCAGGCCACTCAGAAGGGCGTACCATTCAAGCGCTCCTCTAGATGGAATCTTCTTCAGAACCATTCATTATCAATACCCTTTTAAAGAAGGCTTTCCCACCCTCCGGTTGAGTTCCTAGACCCCAGCAAACCTCCTCCTTCAGCACAGACCCCGCAGCCGTCTCCTCCCCAGCCACTTCCCCTTCCTTTCCACAGGAAGGCGGACTCCCCACAGGTTAAGGCATCGGGCCCTCTTAATTTCGTCCCTTAGAATCTAGGCTAAGCCTGGGCCAGATTCATCCTTGAGGGCGGGAGCACCTGGCCCCTCCAGCTCTTTAAGATTAAAATGGGGAAAGTGTCCTTTGCTGCCAGAGGACTTGCCAAGCTTGGGATGGGCAAGATGAGACGAGGGAGGGCTGCGGGCCTTGGACCACGCGGGTTCACGGAGCCACCTTTGACCGAGTCAGCCCACTGGTCCACCTTTGACCGAGTCAGCCCACTGGTCCATCAAGGTCCATGCATGGCCCACTCTGCCTGATAGTGGCTCTCCAGGGTCTCAAGGTGGAGGTCTGTCATCTACTCGCTGGAGATGCCGGGGATTGAACTCAAGACCTTCTGAATGCCAAGCAGACACCCTCTCACTGAGCCACACCCAGCCCCTTCTTGCATTTCTGATGCCACTAGTCCATCATCCTTCAAAGCAGAGCCTTCAGGAAAATAAGCTGCTGCTTCTTTTATTTCTTTTTTTTGTGTGTACCTTTGCAGTGTGTGTGTGTGTGTGCGCGCGCACCCATGTCTGCAAGTCACAGTAACCTCTGCCGATCCCTAGTGGGACATGGAAGACTTTCAGAGAAGTGGCTTGATAGCCTGCCTCTGCCTCCCGGCCCTGGTATTCCTTGGCGGTCTCCCATCCAAGTACTTGCCAGAGTCGGCCCTGCTTAGCTTCCGAGCTGTGACGAGATCGGGCTTGCCTGGGCTATCCAGGGCAAGGCAGGACAATAAGCTCCAAACTGAGGATCTTGCTTGCTGACACACTGATTTTTGAAGGACTCCAGTGCGCATCCGGGCTGCACTGGTACAGGCACAGTCTGACACACAATGATCCACACGGCAGGCGCCCTTTTCCCATTTACCCCTTTCGGCGAGATGAAGAGACGGCACCGGGTCCTCTATGCTGGAGCCAATTGCCGCCCTCTCAGCCATCGACTTCAGCGTACTTAGAGGCTCGGGTGCCTGCAAGGCAGAGGACAAAAACACAAAACGGTACTGAAGGAAAGAGAAGGCAGGCTGTTGTGTTTTTTTCCCCCTAGAACACCACTGAGAGTCACTGTGATGTGGCACCTACAGTGCTGGAAGACTGGAAGCCAAATGGCCCCACCACCAAACTGATTGGGTGATCTTGACCCAAACTCTCAGCCGAACCTAGGCTGCTGAGGGGATGATACAGGGACACACACACACACATCTCCCGGTATGGGCAATATTAAGACCACTGATCTTCTTCGTGGTCTCTGTGCTTCACACCAATGGGATCTAGTGCGCCTGCGCTGGATCCAGCGCAGGCGCACTAGATCCCATTGGTGTGAATGCACAGATGACCACTCGAAGATCGCCAATTACTGGTAAGCAACCTGCTTATCTTCTTCGTGGTCTCTGTGCTTCACACCAATGGGAACTAGTGCGCCTGCGCTGGATCCAGCGCAGGCGCACTAGATCCCATTGGTGTGAATGCACAGATGACCACTCGAAGATCGCCAGTTACTGGTAAGCAACCTGTTTTTCACTACCCAGCAGGGAGCGGAGGAGGCCTCTCACCTTGATCTCAGGCGTGGAGCTGAACTGGGGTGGCCCGTTGAGCAGTGTCTGGGCAGGCTTGCTGTCGGAGAAGCTGGGGGTGGGCGAGGCAGGTGGGTTGGCGGTGAGAGGCACCAGGAGGCTGGATCCAGTGCTGTTGCCACCACTGGGCGGCTGGGGAGCTGCACTCGGCTCTTTCCTGCAGAGAGGGCGAGGAGGAGAAATGCAAAGGTCGGGAGGGCCCAACACCACCCAGCCCGCTCAGGAAAGGAGGGCCCCAGGGCAGGGCCTTCAGGCTTCAGTGGTTTTAACGGAGCAGAGTACTATAAACGGAGTGAGAATGAGAATCCTGGACTAACATAAACCCAAATTCTACACATGTCCTTATATTGTTTCATTTCTGAATGAGTGTGGGGGAATAAAACCAGACTGCAGAATATGGCTTCCTGAGAACTTCAGCTCTCTTTTACTTAAGACCCAAGTTTCTAGCCCCTATCTAGTTGAGGAATGAGCATCCCAGTGTGTGAACAATGCTGTTGACATCTGAATTAGATTACCAAGGAACTGAGCTCCAATCCTCTCCATAATTCTGTGACCTTCTACAGACTGGTGGTGGCAGCAAGTGCCATCGAGTCACGGCCAACTCATGGCAAACCCTGTAGGGTTTCAAAGGCGAGAGATGTTCAGAGGTGGTTTGCTCTTGCCTGCCTCTGTGTAGCAACCTGGGTTTTCCTTGGTGGTCTCCAAATAATAACCAGGGCCAATCCGGCTTAATTTCTGAGATCTTATGAGATCGGGCTAGCCTGGGCCATCCAGGTCAGGGTTTCTAAAGGTAAAGGTTCCCTTGCTCGAAAGCCAGTCGAATCTGACTCTAGGGTTGCGGTGCTCGTCTCCGTTTCCAAGCCGAAGAGCCAGCGCTGTCCGAAGATGTTTCCGTGGTCATGTGGCCGGCATGACTAAACACCAAGGTGCACGGAACGCTGTTACCTTCCCACCGAAGTGGTACCTATCTACTTGCAATTTCTTGCTTTCGAACTGCTAGGTTGGCAGGAGCTGGAACTAGAGACGGGAGCTCACTCCGTCTTGCGGCACCCGGGTCTCGAATTGCTGAACTACTGACCTTCCACAGCCTGCAGTTCAGCATCTTAACCACTTGAGCCAACGCAAATAAAATAAGAGGAAGAAGAAGAGTTAGGATTTATATGCCGCCCTTCACTTGGAGTCTCAGAGCGGCTTACGATCTTTCCCTTCCCCGCCCCACAACACACACCCTGTGAGGTACGTGGGGCTGAGAGAGCTCTTTAGACTGGCCAGACTGGTGCTGGTTGATATTGACTCTAGAAAATAATTTCCTTCTGAATCTTTATAGCTTCTGACCCAGTTTTAATTCCAGATGGGTAGCAGTGTTAAGTCTGTAGCAGCTAAACATAAAACCGGAGTCCAGTGGCACCGGAAAGACTAACGACATTTATTCCAGCAGGAGCCTTTGAGAGTAAGAGCTCACGTCCTCAGGTGCATCTCACAGAAGCTTAGGCTGGAGTAAATGGTTACTCTTTAAGGTGAATCCAGTTTTATCGGAACTGTAAAATTCACAGTATAAAATCCAGGTCATTTGGCATTTGATTATGCTGCTTTGTATTTTGCCCTGAGATTGCGAACAGGCCCTGGGTGTTTTGAGAAACAGAACAATGGAATAGGAATGATGTAAACAGTTCTTTGTCACAACCAGAGCCTTCATAGACGTTTTTACTGCAAGGGAAAATCTGAGGCAAATCCAAAGAATTGTGAAAGAAATCAGATGACTGTTTTTTGTCTTAGGCTGGTTGGTGACTACAATTGCCAAGCTCCCAGGTAGAGAAGGAAGGGAGAGAAAGAGTACAGACACAGTTGTGTTGAAAGGGGAAACTCACGTGGAAGCGCTGGGCGGGTTGTGCGACGCTGTCTGGTTAGGCAAGGATTGGCTGCCGCTGCTTAATGTCGAGTCTGAGTTGCTGTCAGCTACCACAGAGCTGTAACCTGACCAGGAGACACAAAGGATAAGCCCGTGGCTTCCATTTTGGACTGAGCCACCTATAAAGCTTACACAGACCAGAGAGAAGCACCTTCATGACCAAGGTTCACTTAACTACCCAGTCATGTGGGGGAAGACAACAGCCCCAGCCTGCATCGGCCTACTCCCACTACTTGGCAGTCTCCCTCACGGCACTGCCACTCGGGTTGCCAACTGACCAGAAAGAGACCCAGTTCAGCCTGCTCTTCAGCCTCTGACAGCATCTTGATGTGCAGAAGGCAGCGGGCAAAACATTTCACAGCACTGTCACCTGCTCCTTGCTGTCTCTGTAGAAGGAACAACCGCTTCCAGGGCCACTTGGCAGTGTTGCCAGCAAACGAGATGGAAACTGTTCAACTGAGTACTCAAAACTGCTTTTTAGCTGCCATGCAGAGATGGAAAATTGGGACAGAGGCAGAGAGACTGGGTAAATAAGTCTGTGGAGGCTAAAGGCAGACCTGGGGACTGGCCTTGGTGCAAGCTGCTGCCACCACCAAGGGCAAATCAAACTGCAGTCAGGACAAGGCTCCCGCCCCTTTAAGAGCTCTGAAGCAGACAGCTGCCAGCAGGTGCATCCCCCACTGCCACACCTGTGGAAATCCCCACTTGGGGCTCTTAAAGGAAAGGAGGCCAGACTGCACTGAAATCCCGAGAGTCTTGTCAGATCCCAGCAATTAACTGTCTTGGAAAAACAAAAAAAGAACCCCACATATTTCACTTTCCTTCAACAATCATGATTGTTTTTAAAGGAAAAAAAAATAGTTTTAAAGTAACTTAACAACTGGCTCCACTTCTGTATCGCTCTCCATGCCAGGAAACATCCTCCACCACACCTCTCTCTCCCCCTGTCATATCTTCTCTGAGGCCCCCTTGCTTAACCCTAGGGCTCCCAACTGGCCTGGAGGAGAATGTGTCCTCCCCTTTTAGCAGAGGCTTAATGGGATGTTCTTTGCCTCCCGGCACACATCAACACTCTCTTAAAGAGACAAGGCATTTCCCCCCCCCTTCCAGGTTATGTTAGCAACTATTTCACCTGCCAACCTTATAGTCTCAACGGCAAAAACCCCTATAAGCTGTAAATCCTTATGTATGCTTACCTGGGAGCAAGCCTCCCTGAAAACAGTGGGAATCATTCTGGGGTAGATGCACCTCGTGCAAGCGGGGCTGCCAACTCCAGGTCTAGAAAATACCTGGGAATTTGAGGGTGGAGCCTGGGAGGGTGGGGATTTCGGGAAGGGAGGGGCCTTGGTGGGACATGATGCCATGCAGCCCACCTTCCAGAGAAGCCGTTCCTCCAGGAGAAGCAGAATAAACATTTTAAACCACAATTAGAGTTATGTACTCTGGAGATCAGTTATTCCAGGAGATCTCCAGCCTTCCCCTGGAGATTGGCAACCCTACATGCAAGTATGCACAAGTGCTTTTGCTTACACGTCTCTCTTGGTTTTTCGTACCACTCTGTTCTTCCCCGTTTTTGTTTTTTTTAAACCCTTTACAATTGCAAACACCTTGAGGTTCCAGGGCCTGAAGTAGCACAAACATGGTGTGGCACTGCACAGACAAAGATGAAGACACTCAGGCTCCCTCCAGCACTTCTCTCCAACCCACCAGGCGAACTGTGCCAGTGACATGAGACAGTGGGCAAGGAGGGCGTGTCCAAATGACACCCATTTACACTTGGTTCTGTACAAGCGGAACCATCCAGGTTTCTTCACCTGGGAACTGCTGTTGAGTGCAGCTCCTAAGATCTCCGTGAGGAGATACCTGTCGACCTAGCCCATGTCGGAAGACAAGATGAACCTCTGGTTCCCAGGGCTTCCCTACACATGACAATCTGCAGTCTAGGTAATCCCCAAGAAAGAGAAGGGGAGATATGCTTTCTAGAAGATAGAACTGGGGCTCAAGTTATAAAATGGAACTGAAAATCAGTCCCAGGTAGGGTTGCCAACTCCCGATTGGGAAATACCTGAAGATTTTTGGGCGGGAGCTTCAGGAGGGTGGGGTGGGACTTCAACTGGTATTCCAAAACAGCTGTTTTCACCAGGTGAACTGATCTGTTAGCGGGAGATCTCCAGCTACCACCTGGAGATTGGCAACCCCAGTCCCAGGCCAGAAGAGGCTGCAGTTGATTAATCTCAACAACTACAAGAGTCTTTGAGAAGTCTTGACCGGCAGAAAAAGCTGCTACTTTTGCACCTACGGAGGACCTGGAGCAAGAGCTGACCCCCCCTGACCCACCCCCAACACCGACTCACTGGTTGCCCCGTTCTGTTTGCTGGCATTCTGCTGGGTGCTGGGGGGCCTGGGCTGAGAGGCATTGGTGCTGGTGGGTGGGGGTGCCACGGCCTGGGCGTACGGAGTTGGGGTGGTGGGCGCGTGCCCCGCCGGCGGGTTAGCTTTGCCGCTCGCATTCCCACTGCCAGCCACAGTCCCGTTGCTGTTGGAGCCGGGCCCGTTCCCCAACGAGGACGAAGTGCTGGAGCTGCCGCCCATCGGGTAGCTGGGGGGGATGGCGGGCGGCGGCTGATGGTGGTTGTTGTGGAGGCTCTTTGAACCGTTCTTTGCTGGCGACTGGACGGGGGAGAGAAGACAGAAGATATTACAGCACTGGGAAAAGGGCAGAGAAGGGCAACAAAAATGACTAAGGGGGTGGAACACCTTCCCTGCGAAGAAAGGCTAAAGAGGTTAGGGCTCTAGCACGGAGAAACAATGACTGAGGGGTGACGTGAGAGAGGTTTACAAGTATGCACAGGCCAAAGAAGGCAGAGAAAGTAGTACTTTCCGCCCTTTCTCACAATACAAGAATTCGTGGGCACTCCAAGTTAATGAGTAGTAGGCTTAGAACAGACAAAAGGAAGTTCTTCTTCACCCAAAGAGTCATTAACACATGGAATTCACTACCACAGGAAGTGGTGGTGGCTACAAGCACAAACAGCTTCAAGAGGGGAGTGGATTAACATATGGAGCAGAGGTCCATCAGTGGTTATTAGCCACAAGGTATAGATAGGAACTCTCAGTCTGGGGCAAGGGATGCTCTGTATTCTTCGTGTGTGGGGGGGAACAGTGGGTGGGCTTCTGGAGTTCTGACCCTGCTATGGTATGGCACCTGCATTCTGGCCACTGTGTGACAAAGTGTTGGACTGGATAGGCCACTGGCCTGATCCGACATGGCTTCCCTTCTGTTCTAAGACAGAGAGGAGATTCAGACTTGTGACCAGTCCCCACAGTAAACACTATGTGCATTAAGGGAGGGGGTCCTGTCTCCACAAGAGGAGCATCGCCATGTTAAGAGGCGATACACCCAGGTCCCCATCAATGTTCCCTCTAAGCTGTGGAGTCTCGTGAGCAAAAATTCTACTTTGTGAGCTGCCGGCATTAAAGTGGTGAGCGAGCGATTTGGCTGCTGCATAAATCAGTTGGCTCTGGAGCCCTCCTTCCTGAGCGGAGACAAAAATGTGTGAGCTGGAGGCTGAAAAACTGTGAGCTAGCTCCCACTCACTCAGCTTAGAGGGAACACTGGTTCCCCTCCCCTCTTTCCTTTGGCCTGGTTCGCCAAACCAAGACAGTTCCTGGCGTCCCCCTCAAACCCACCAGGAGATGAACCCTGGGCCCCACACTCACTTGACTCACTTCACCCCTCTTTCCTTTTGCCTGGTTCACCAAACCAAGACCGTTCCTGGCATTCCCCTCAAACCCACCAGGAGATGAACCCCGGGCCCCACACTCACTTGACTCACTTCACTGTCCGTTGACCGTCCTCGTTTCTTGTCATCTTCAGAGTTTTCCTAAGGGGAGGTTAAATTCAGTGCTGCTCCGAGAGGAATAGTCAGCCAGAGATCAAGGAAGTTGGGCAACAATCTGTCTTTTTTTAAAGAACTTCATAAACATACAGCCCCTCCCCCAATTACCATTTGCCCAATAGGAGAGCCACTTTTGGCCCAGGTGACTGGAAGGAAAGCGGGACATAAACGGAGCCTCCTTACCGTTGTGCAGTTTGCAGGACTGGGGGGGATCGGGGAGCTTGACGTGGTGGACGTGGGCGTGCTGCTGGATTGGTTGAACATTTCGTCCTCCATGTGGCTGTGGCTGGGCGGGGAAGTGGCTACCAGGGCCTGTGCTGCAGGGCCAAGAGCAGGGAGAAGCTGACTGACCAAAACAAGGCCAGGAGTCATCGACAACCATTGCAATGCAAGCACACCAATGGCAGGCTTCACTTGATGGCTAAGCTAAAGGTCTTCTCCCCAGTCGTTCCCCCCCCCCCTCCCCGTGAGATCCCCTTGCTGAACTGCAGCCCTGCCAGAAGGCTGGGGCAGAAAGTTACCTTTACATGGTGGTAGCAGTGGGATATCGCAATTTTTTAAAAAAGAAGAAAGTTGTATCCTTTTTACCAAATCCCAAACAAATGATTTTGCTTCTGTATCTCCAAGGAAAACTTACAGAAGCTTGCACAACTTGCATGCACAACCTTTATCATGCCCGGCTCCCTCCACCATGGAAGCAAGAATTCACCCCAAGGAGGCAGCTGAATAGCAGCACTGTTTCAATCAGCAGATGAGTTAGCGTACTTCTTTAGCAATAACACATGCAAAGTATAACAGCAGACCCTCAACAAATGCAGCATCCATGGCTACAAAGGGAAGGCAGCAGCTGTTCTTTGTGGAAGGGAGAAAAGGTCCTTGAACTGACAGTAGCCTCCAGAGGTACGGATTGTAAGAGAGGAGGAGGAGACTTGGTTGATTCGAGTGGTTTGCGTTTATGCCCCTTTCAGTTGCCATAACCAGCGATGGGCCTGTTGAGACCCAAATCTAGTTTCATCCCATGGACACATGAAGCTGCTTTATACTGAATCAGACCCTTGGCCCATCAAAATTAGTATTGTCCACTCAACAAATTTAAGAGTCCAGCGGCACCTTTAAGACCAACAAAGGTTTATTCAAGGTATGAGCTTTCGTGGGCAAGGCACACTGTTTCAAATACGTTAGAACAGTGATGGCGAACCTTTTAGAGACTGAGTGCCCAAACTGCGACCCAAAACCCACTTATTTATTGCAAAGTGCCAACACGGCAATTTAACCTGAATAGGTTTTACTTTAGAAAAAACAACTCCTACATTAACTTAAGAGGATCCAAACAAAGTAAAGAAAGCAATCCCAAATGCTTTCATTTACTTAAAATTATTTGGCAGAGAATTCGACACTTTAATGGTGGTCTGGGCCTGGCTGGGGCGATGGCACGCTTGCCCGCAGAGAGGGCTCTGAGTGCCACCTCTGGCACCCGTGCCATAGGTTCGCCACCACTACGTTAGAATGGCAGGCAAGGTTCAAACTTATAGCCAGAGAATGAACAGCAAGTTAACATACAATTCTCTGACTAGAAGTTTGAACCTTGCCTGCCATTCTAACGTATTTGAAACGGCACACGAAAGCTCATACCTTGAATAAGCCTTTGTTGGTCTTAAAGGTGCCGCTGGACTCTACAGTTGTCCTCCTGCTTCAGACCAACATCTGGATCTATTGTCTACTCAGACTGCTCTCAAGCGGAGATCTGTCACATCCCTTCTCTTCATCCTTCATTGGAGATGCCGGAGACTGAGCCTGGGAACTTCTGCATGCCAAGCAGATGCTCCAGCACTGAGCCACGGCCCCTCCCCAATTACGACAGTCACCACTACCCCAAACCCAACGCGGTCTACCCAGCAGAGGCACTTACGAATGTCTTCTAAGTCGAGGTCATCATAGAGGAACTCGTTCTCTTCGAAATCGGGGTCCTGCGAGGAATCCACATAGTACTCAACGTCGTCCTTGATCTTGCGGATGGAGTCCACCATGATGGAGTCATTGTCCAGCATACGCAGGATGGTCTCCAGCATCCGGATGTGGTACCGATGCTTCTCGATGTGTCGCTTCAAGCCCTCGATCCGGTCTTGCTTCTACGGACGAGGGGAGAGAAGAAGCAGGAGCGTGGGAACAGGGCTGAGGACTAAAGGATCCTGGCTCCTGAGCCCTTCCCCCCTTGCTGCACCCAGTCAAGAAATAATTCAAGGGGTGGATTTAAGCCGCTGAAGCCTTGGACTCTTGGGGCTTGCAGCCTTGGCATCTCTGAAATGAACCAAAAGTCACCATACAACAAGCGCTGAGCTTGGGCAAGCGTGACCAAAGGGAAAGACAGTCTCACGCCCTTCCTTGCCCCTCCTCTCTCTATCTCCTGGGGACTTGCCTTGAATCAAATGTCATTCAGTGCATGCATGTGCAAGTGCCGGTGGTTTCCTAATGGCATTAGGCCTTTGAGACAAGGTTAAGGGAATCAACTTCTTTCCCAGAACCGGTGCTTTCCTTCCAACTCTTAAGCCGGAAAGGAAATCAGTGATAACTTTTGCACGAAACAGAACCCAATACTGATTCCCCCACCTCGCCAACATATCAGTGGCTACCAATAACTCATGACTTGGCTTCTGTGCCCTCCTTTCACCCCTTCTGGGCTACTTGTTTCCTGCTCTTGTCCATAAGAACCCAGAAGCTCCAGCTTCCCCTCTGATTTTAATCGGCAAGTCATGCTGCCTCCGGTACATGGGCCCGCGCACGCCAGGCACACGGCCTCTCAGGGATGCTCATCAACTCACAGAATTCTTAACAGGGCAATTAGTCTTAAATATCGAAACAGAGTAATAGCAATTGAACTTGATAGAGCTGCCGAACACCAGAAGACTAGTATACACTGCCCTGACTGCACATAGTATCTAGCACACAAGCTTGGCACAGATTGCCGCAGCTTTTTAGTTTATGTGGTTTATGCATGTACGATTGTATTATTGGTACATTTCTCATATTCTGATTTCAGGCTTTTGAGCACTTAAGAAGGCTAAGTCATTTCAGACCTACTATGCCAAGAAATACAATGAACACTCTGTCACTTAATTTGATATAGGTCTGATCAAACTCTGAAAAATTCCATTATTTCAGAAGCTTTCCTGGTGGGCTTAGGAAAGACAGAAGGCAGGTTGTATACAGATGCTTCTCCGTCTTCTCTCTGTAGGTATTTACTAGTAGTATAATAAAGCTTATTTTGTGTAAAAAAAATAATAATCAACTCACATCCTTGTCTCCTTTCTTCTTGCGCGTCTGGACTGAGAGGGACTCCACTTCACTCTCAAACTGATCCACCTGCATGTTCAAGGTGTCTATGGTATTCTGGGGAAGGGAGAGAGAGAGAGAGAGAGAGAAGGGAGACACACAGATCACTTCCCATTCAATCTCCGGCCACTGCACTCAAAAGACGAGCCATGTAAGCAAAGCCACCGACAATGAACAAACTGTGAGAATGTTCAGCCTACGGGACCTCCATGTGCAGAGGCAGCATACCAGATGCTAGGCACAAATATGCCAGGGAAGGACCTTCTTGCTCTGGCCAGGTTCTCTCGGGAAAAGAACCCCAGACAAGAGGGACCCGGGCCTCACCCAGCAAAGCAGTTCCTACTTTCTCAATTCACGTTGGGAGTTTCGACTCTCCTCTCCGTCCAACATGGCCACCTCTCTGTAATTGTTTCAGAAAATGCCACAGCCCGGCAGCTCAGAGCTCAACCCAAGCCACTGTAAGCCATCTGCTCCGCAGCCACTCTTCTGCATCGTACCTGCTCTCTGCTCACCGTGCTTGTCAAGGTGATCGGGCAGGCTGAACAATTCAGAATGGAGTCCGATGGGCAGAGGAGCCTGGCCTTGTAGCAGGGGAAGGGACTAGGCGATCTTTGGGCTCCGGCTCTCTCGCTCACACAGCTCTATCCCATTCCCTGTCACTATTTACCACTGGTGCTCACAACCGTCTTGAACCCCTGGAACTTTCCCCCTTTCCCTTACAAGTCTGCCTCGTGGGCCCATGAAACTGCCTTACACTGTATCACGGCGTCAGTCCACCAGAGTCAGTACTGTCTGCTCAGACTGGCAACGGCTCTCCAGGGTCTCAGGCGGAGGTCTTTCAAAAGCACCTACTGCCGGAGCCTTCAACTGGAGACGCCGGGGACTGAACCTGGGATCTTCTGCTCCTATGCTCTACCACTGACCCACAACCCTTCCCCTCCTGGCCTCCATCCAAAATGTAAGCTCTCCCTACAGACCTCTGCAGGCAGGAACCAAAGGCGACAAAGCCAAACGACACCACAGTGCTGCGACGGAGCACCCACACTTGGCAAGCGCAAGTCCCCAGGCGCAGCCCCGCCCTCCTCAGGGGGCCAGACCAGGAAGAGGCTTTCCTCTCCCCAAGACCTTGGGACGCTTCCATCGGCCACGGTTAGACGCTGCGATGCCAGAAGGGCCACTGAGCCTGACTCGGCCGAAGAAAGTGATGCTTTAAATCCGGGCCTCGTGTTAAAATAAAAAAACAGAGTTTCTCCGCTCCCTCCTTACGCCTCGGCATCTTCTACTAAAGGCGGCTTCTCCACCCCCCCCCCCCCCGTGCACGTTTTCTGCCACGACCCCCTTTCCCCAGCCCGCCGGGCCTCGTTCTCACCGTCAGCCACTGCCCGACTTCTTCCTTCTCCTTCTGGGCTGGGTCCACTTTCTGTGCCAGGCCCAGCCCCTCCTTGGAGTAGGCTTTCGTCTTGGTCTCGCGCTCCACTATTAACCGCTCCATTTGCTGGAAGGAGAGAAGCAGAAGGGCTGAGCGGGCTTTGCCTGGGCACGGGACGGATCAAAGGGCAAGGGGGCATCCCGGCCACTGCGCTCCCGGGAGCCTTTCGGAGGGGGAAGGACGGAAATCCACGGTGGCAATGAGGGCGATAAACACAGGACACGAGAACAGAGCAGGGGTCCCCAACACGGCGCCCCTGGGCCCCCTGGTGCCCACCCAGTGATTTACAAAATGGGCACAGCCAGGTGGGTGATTTTGCCCAGCAGGGCCGCTGGAAAGCAGACTGGCTGTCAGTGTTCCCTCTAAGCTGAGTTAGTGTGAGCTAGCTCACAGTTTGTTAGCCTCCGGCTCACACATTTTTGTCTTCGCTCAGGAAGGATGGCTCCAGAGCAAACTAATTTATGCAGTAGCCAAATCGCTCGCTCACAACTTTAATGCAAGTCGCTCACAACGTAGGATTTTTGCTCACAAGGCTCCACAGCTTAGAGGGAACATTGCTGGCTGTGCAGAGTTTCTAAAAGCACACAAATCTTCACTGTGTTGCGTACGGCAAGAAAACACATTTTTTAAAAATGTTCATTCTAAAAGACATCCTATTAAACAGAGTTTCTGCATGAAGTGTTCAAGTGCCACTTAGAACTATGCATGATCTCCCTCCCTGACATTCTGGGGTTGCCTCTGCCTCCTGTGGCAGCCATGCTGCTGTCGTGCCCGCCACCCTGGGCCAGAATTCCAAAGGGGCCCACAGGCTTGAAAGGTTCGGGGATCCCTGCGCTAGAGGCTGTCGGACGCAGATCTCTGGCTCTCTCTCTCTCTCACGCACACACTCTTTTGGGTCCACACCTGTAGTGACAGAAGACCTGTAAAAGGCCTCTGTTTCCCACCCAATGCATACCCGTGGAGTGAGGATTTTAATCTGCCGTGTTTAAAATAAAACCAGTACAATTTTTTAAAACTTTCTGGAGAGGAGAGAGAAGGAACACACTCAAATCCTCTCTCCTGAATCGGTACAGCCTTGATAGGACAACACCTCCGTGCTCTTCCTGAGCGCCTAGCCCAGACGGATCCACGCGTGCAGTAAAACAAGGTGGCAGAATGGACTATACCACTTCAGGGCGGCAGGCGAGGGATCACAATTTCGGAAGGCTCCCTACACTTAAGATGTCTCTGCAAGTACAAAATGAGCACAGCTGGGAAGGCTCCAGCCCAGGCTCCGCTCTCCATCTCCCTACTTGTGCCACTTTCCTTCTGGCAGAGAAAACAAAAGAAGAAGAAGAAGAAGAGATTGGATTTATACCCCGCCCTTCACTACCCAAAGGTGTCTCAGAGCGGCTTACAAACTCCTTTCCCTTCCCCTCCCCTCCCCACAACAGACACCCTGTGAGGTAGGTGGGACTGAGAGAGCTCTTGACAGAAACTGCTCTTTTTCAAGGACAGCTCATATCAGAACTACGGCTTGCCCAAGGTCACATCAGCAGGTGCAAGTGGAGGAGTGGGGGATCAAACCCGGTTCTCCCAGATTAGAGTCCGCGCACTTTACCACTACACCACACACACACTCTCAAACTGGCTACACCAAACAGGAATCTTGTAGCACGTTGAAGACTAAGTTGTCCTTCTGGCGAGAAATTCTGCATGGGGGAGGACACTGAAGAGTGGTATTCCCCATCCCCAATTTACCACCTCTGGACTTTATCTCATCTCATTCCCCTGCCTGCCACACACACAAACACACAAACACACACACACAACACCCCCCCCCCCCAAGACCTTCATAGCCTTTTGGGAATCTTCCCACTAATTCTGCCTCCCCAGCCATCTGCTGGAATTCACAAGGGTTTTTTCCTGCCTAGGAATCCTGGCTTTCAGCCCTACTTTTCTAACTACACGGCAATTTCCACATCTCTTTTTTCATCTTGATGCCTCTGCAAACAAATAGACACCACGCTAGCAAATGTACTTCATTGAAGTGCCACCATGCTGGAAAGAGCCACTTGATGTCATTATTTAGATACCAGTTCCTGAGCAGAAGAAACGCCACTCAGAACAGCTTCACGTGTTTTAGCACAGACATACATTGAAGGAGGACCCATAAAAATTCTTGTGCCTGCACGACATGCATTTCTAAACGTGTGTACTATATGCCAAGGAACTGGGGTTTGCAGTAGCCACATGGCACACCCATAGGTATATGTGCCTGCTGCCATTTTATGCACAAAGCAGCCCCCAATTTGAATGATCTGACCTACACAGCGATGCCTGCCAACAGGCATGAAAGATGCACAGTATTGGTCAATGACCACCTATATACGCCAACAGGCATGAAAGATGCACAGTATTGGTCAATGACCACCTATATACATACATATCTTGTCAAGAGGAAGAGACACCACTTGGCCTCTTTAGCCCTGGACTGGAAAAGTGTGGATGCGCAACATGTATCTGCATTGTGCCAGTCAGGTCATGACCTCACGCAGGCACGGGAAAAACAAGGCCAACGTGCTCTAGAGAAAAGCAGCCGCTGGACACACGCCTTCCCCCAGAAAACCCAGGAGAGACTTGACTCACAACAGAAGGGCCTAGTTCCCACAGGTGCCCCTAAAAGCCATCTTCCAAATTTCGGACACCCCCTACTACCCCTCTCCTTACCCTCTATCCCATGCTGCCTCGCGCAGAAGACCTGCAACCGAGAGGACGCGGGGCTCCCCACAGAACCCTGCTCAGCAGCTCACCCCACCTATGTCTGGACTGTGATGGCTGGCAGGCAGTGTGACCTCACAAAGGTGAGCCAGCTAGCCAATTGCAAGCATGCGGGGGAGGAGCTAAGCAACATTACACCCACGTGTCATCAACAGGTATGAAGAACCAAATCCAGCTCTGATTGGAAGGCTAAGAAGGCAGCAAGACCCGGGGAAGAGTGGCTGACCGAGTGTTCCGCATGCCCACATCAGTTCAGGGCAAACCTCTGAATCAAGAAAACAGCAACCTTTTTCTCCTCTTACCGTCTCAATGAGTTTCCGGTTTTCTATTAGCTGCCTTTTGTCCTTAATCTCATTGGACGCAACCCACGTCTTGATCTGGTCCCTCAATCTCTGCAGAAGAAGGTAAGTTGAACAGGGGGAGAGATTTGGGGGACAGGAGGGACTCCTGACCCCTGACATAGCCATACTAGATTTCAGTGGTGGAGAACAATGGTTAGAGTCAAAAAAACAAGGGAAGAATTACTAGTCCCCTGCACCAAACCACCAGCAGCAGCAACAAAGGAGACTTGGTCTGTGACCCCACTGCTCTAACCAGTCTAAGGGAAACAGCTCTGCCGGCTCTCCTGGGGCTCTGGTTCTCAAGATGTCTCCCTCCCCAACAAAGCAGGGCCCTTCAGTCCTTTCTCCCCGAGCCCGGTAGCAAAGAAGCCCAAAACCGGCAGTAACCGGAAGCTTACCTGGAGTTTTTTAATCTCCTTTTTCAGATCGGCTTCATATTTCTCCTTCTGGTTGGCATTAGCTGCATTGTGGAGCTACAGCATAAAGAGAGGAGGAGACAGAGAAACAGGACATGATACAGGTTCGGGGGCCCAGATGCCAGGGGAGGGGCAAGTAAGCAGGGTGGGGGGGAGAACCAAAGCAATGGAGAGGTTTTTTTAAAGGCAAAAAGAGGAACAGAAACTTCTACCCGGACCAGCCAAAAGAAAATAACAATCGGATGAGACACATCGATCAGGGAAGCCGGCATGGGGCAAAGGGCAGGAAAGGACTAAAGGAGAGAGTCGGCCACCCGTTCTCACCTTCTGCCAGATGTCTTCAAACTGCTCCACTCCTTCCGACACCTTTTTCAAGCACCGATCAATCTCACCTGGGAGTGGGGAGAGAGGAGGGCTGCTCAGAGCAATCACAGCAACTGCCGGCCACCCCCAGCTCATTAAGCTCAGCTCAAGCCTGTCCTCTCTCTCCTCACTCCAGCCCCAGGACCTGGAAGCACCAGATCGCCTTCTTCTTCTACCCCCCCCCCACACACACACACTCAGCCTTTCAGCCCACTAAGCTACATCCAGAGAATCCAATGCTCCTCCCACTCCCCTTCCCCCATTTCACACAGATCCGACTTCCTTCCTCTCCAAAGAAGCTTCCAGAACAGGTGGGGGACCTGGTTTCTCTGGCGTTCGGGTCCCCTGCCTCCATCCCCCTTTAGCCGGCCAGACTCACCCACCCCACCCCGAGAGACCCAGAGGGGCCTGCCTCTCGGGCCAGCAGCCCCGCCCTCTCAGCCAGAGAGAGCCCAAAAGCACCCAGCTGGGGCAGGAGCAGCCAAGGGACACCCCGGAGGCTCTCTTACCTTGTAGCTTCCTCTTGTCTGCCATGTTTCCTTCACTATAGAGGGGCTCTCTTCATACTTTATAGAGCGTTGAGACTTTCAAGGAGAGCAAGCAAGAGATACCCGTTAGGAAGGGAGCTCGGGTGAGAAGGCGCCCCCCAGTGGGAGGGGAAGAAATGGACACAGGGGGCCAGGCAGCAGGAGGGGCATTTTAAGAAACAAAACAGGCGGACCCACTGGTGTGCAATGTTCTCTCTAAGCTGAGTTAGCGTGAGCTAGCTCAGAGTTTTTTAGCCTCCGGCTCACACATTTTTGTCCTGGCTCAGGAAGGAGGGCTTCGGAGCAAACTAATTTATGCAGTAGCCAAATCGCTCGCTCACAACTTTAATGCCAGTAGCTCACAAAAGAGAATTTTTGCTCACAAGACTCCACAGCTTAGAGGGAACATTGCTGGTGTGCCAGGGAAAAAACATTCCTGGTGGAATTCTGCCTGTTGCACACATGCTGACTGTTCATGTAAAGGTACAGGAGGACTATGGGGGGGGGGGGACACAGACAACTGAAATGGGGATGCTCCGAGTAGATACTCCAACCTGTCACAGTTTCCACCCCACCCCTCTTCAGGGCAGCACAAGTGGTTCCCCACCCCCACAATCTCCACTAGATTCTCCTAACCACCTTGCGAAATGAGCCACACCGAGAGATAGAAACTGGCCCCTGAGCTCCAATAGCTGAGTGGGGATTTGAATTCAGGACTCCCCGGCCCAGCAGTTTAACCACAACGGGTCTCAGCTATGCAGGACACAATTTAAAGATGGCAGTGTTTGTTTCTGGAAGACTCCGCTCAACGGTGTGGCAGGCAGGGGTTCAGCAGGTAAAGTAACCCTTTATTGCATATGCCAGGATAGAGAATTCCAGCGGCTGAATTTTTGTCACGCAGATATTAAAGCAAAAAAACAACCCAACCATGTTGGTTAATCTAGATTGGGATGGCTTTCGTGAAGGGAGTATGCCCACTCACCTGCCATCACCTCCTGGATCCCTTTGAGGCAGTGAGCTTGTTACAGGGCACTTGGGTTTTAGGTCTGGTACCCCTCCACTTGCCCCGGGCCTTGTGAGTGGGGGAGGGCCTCCAATTTAATGCCCCAAAGGAGGCGTAGATCTGATTTGCTGACTCTGCCCAGTCTGAGCCCCGCCTTCCCAATGACTCAGGGAGTGCACCTGATTGGGGCCGGTGCCCCTTAAGCAGGAGCTCCTTCAGCCTGAGTTCCCATTTCAATTTGGCCGGCCTGTTCCCTTGATTCGTTTGCAGGGGCCAAGCTGGGGCTGCTCACCACTCAAGACAGCCTGGGGTAGGTCTTTATTGATTTATTTTGATACTTAATGGGGAGGGGGGAGGAGCAAAAACTAGGCATCTCCCAGGTGTATTTACAACCGGGACAGGGAGGAGGAAAGCTTCTGGGTGTCTGTCTGTCTTTCCTTCCTTCCAGACAATGTTATTTAGCTGTGCTGCTTTAACTGGTGGAGCCAAGTGTAAGGCTTGCACTTACCTAGCGGCCCCTGGGTGCTTGCTCTCGGCTTCTCTCCAGCCAGGTTCCTCTGCAGGTGAGGAAAGCACATGACTAGCAATGGAAAGAGCCCCACCTTCCCCTTCCCCTACCCAGTGGCCAGCTGGGAGGCCAGAGAGCCAGCTATGAAAGTATCCTGGTACCCAAAGCGGCAGCCCTAAGGGAATCATGCCCGATGCTGAAGAGAGTGCATCAAGGTACAAGAGCCACTGGCTCCCCAGTGTGACTGCCAGTCTGACCACATCTCCCCCCTTAACAGTCTCATATCCAGCAGAAATCCAACAGATAAAGCTTTCCTCATTGTTACATTCATATCAAGAGGAGAGTTGCTGAAGGTCTTCTTGTCTGCAGCTGTTAAAGGTACAGGAGACTTTCTATTTTAAAAGATGGCAGCCTGATCAGCCTTTGCCCATTCACTTTTTGGGAAATGATTAAAAAAAAAGTCATCTCCAGGTGAGCATGCTCGAAAACTGGGTGGAAAAGAAGTTTGTTTGATCAGGCTGGGCAGATGAGCTTGGGTACACTTCTACTAGCTCAGTCTCACGGGCCAGAGTTCTGCCACCCTCTCGGCTATCTTCTCCAGTTTCTGTTCCCTTCTCAGAGAACCCCGGGAGTCTTGGGGATTCCTGGAGAAACTGGGCTAAATTTTGGTGTGTTTTTCCCCCCACCAGGAAGCAATATGTGGTAGAAGATGGGACTGCACGGTGAACACCTTGAGCCACGTTATACTGCATGAATGAAGATCACTGGCCTATCTAGCCCGGCACTGCCTACTGCCAAGATCACAACCGACCCTGCTGGCTCAGCGAGATCCCTTGAGAGAGGTAAAGTTTGAAAGCTGGGACCCTCTGTCTAAACAGCAGGAGCCAGAGCACTGACTATGTAACCCCTCCTCTTAAGGGACCCCCTATCACTGCAGCAGCAGCAGGGTGATATTATGTATGGATACTCCTCCATGTTTTTTTTTTAAAAACCCACAAACCTGCCTGCCACAGTAAAGACAGAAAATACATTTCCGTGGGAAAAGGTTCCACTTCAGCCTGTTCTTTGCTAGCTTTCTACCTTCAGGGAATGGGAGGGGGGGGTTGTTTTACATGGACATACATTTTAAAATGTGTTCCTTCTCTGATGCGGCCCAGTCCATTGTCCTGCCTTGGGACTCAATTCTGCTGTCAGCACAACCCAAACGGCTAGAACTCTGCTGTCTTCCCAAAGATTCCATCTCCTGAGTCGGCACCCGATCCTTTTCCACCTGCCTGTTCTCCACTCTCCTTTGAGAGATGGCTGGGGGAGCTTAGTGTTCCGACATATCTGCTCTCCAATAACGGGGACCCTACGCAGCCATTTGCCCCTCCCAAGGTAGTCAGGGGTCCAGACCACCAAGCTGGCCCTGATCTGTGCAAATAACCCTCTCTCCAGGAAGGACCCAAAAGACAACCATGGACCTGCTTACGCGCTCCTGTCGCTCATTTCAACAAGCAAGAGACTTGGGTCCAGAGCTGCCTTTGGGACACACGCGGCCCGCTCCGACGCCAGTTAGTCACAAGTAAGTTCCACTGAGCTCAAAGAGTTCCTCTCAAGCAAGCACACAATTGTCTCGCCTGAAAACAGGGCTCACGCCCTTTAAATATACCTCCTCTGTCTGCTATGGAGTAAAATTAAAACCTGGTTAGCTGCAGGAAGCTAGGGAGGAAGGTGAACAGGAAAAGGGCTGCCTGGAGAAAGAGGGCTGGACAACTTCAGAACTCTCTCTCTTTTTTTTTATTAAACCCCAACCCCTGCAACAGTGTCTTTACTGGTGGCTTCATCTGCCGCCATGAAGCAGGTAACAGTTCTGACGTCTGCACATCAAGGTCCTTGTGTAAATGCACCCTAGCAGGCCTACTCTGCTGTCTACTGGCCCTAACCTAGACTAGACTAAAGCATCCAGGGGCACCCCACAAACTATCAGTCCCAGCTGTTAGTGAGGCCTTTTCCTCATTGCTAAGCAAATAGGAGTGTGAATCCCCCCACCCCCCAATGTTTACCGTTTGGATAGCAGAATTATTGAATTCCATGAATTGTTGCAAGACTACTGTAGAGGAGCGGATCCCTTCCAAGGGCTCTGTTGTGGGCATTTAGGTGAACTTACCCAGCAAGGGCTGCTTCCCTGGCTACAGCAGAAGTACTGTTTGAACCATCTGTTCAAAATACCAGCCTACTGATTTTCAAAGTTTCTATCATCCAGGAACTTTTTCTAGATCGTTCGGGTGGGTAGCCGTGTTGGTCTGGAGCAGCAGAACAAAGTTTGAGTCCAATGGCACCTGTAAGACCAACAAAGTTCTATTTAAGGTGTGGGGTGCGCTTGCACACGAAAGCTTACACCTTAAATAAAACTTTGTTGGTCGTAAAGGTGCCACTGGACTCAAACTTTTTTCCTAGATCAGCTCGACACTTTGCTCGTTGCAGAGAATCCCAGAGCACGTTTTTGAGTGCCCCGTCAGTTAATGCGTAGCGCTGGCTGGCCCTGGTAAGGCTCTGCTGTTGCCTTGCTCAGTCTAGAGAATATGACCAATAACACATGTCCTACTTTTTGGAGATTTGTGTCCGCCGCTTCTCTTTAAGGAAGCCTCGGATATGCTTTTGGGAAGTCACAGGGTCCCTTGGGAGCCACTCATAGGACTGTCGCATCTCTGCAAACTGGGGGGGAAAGGACTGATTAAACTCACCAGCCAAAAGGGCGGATTTAAATCTGGTCTCCAACTTTCGGCTGCTGGCAGAAGCTGGCACACTAAATGGTTGCTATAGCAATTAAAGCATCTCAGTTTGCGACTACATTGTGGCTGTCTACTACACAGGTGCATAAGATAGGCTTTTGTCAGTTATCTGAACTGTTGAGCCATGGCTTCGGTGCAGGTATCAAAACCAGTATCTTAAAGGAAGAACCAAGGAAACTGGCTGACATTAAAACTGCTCCATCAAAATGGGCCACAGATCCAGCCATCAGAGGTTGGCGGTACAGGTTTGTATGCAGGGCTTTTTTTTTCTGGGGGAATGCACCGAAACGGAGCTCCGGAACCTCTTCAACAAAATTATTTTTAAAACGTTTACAAGTTTGTGAGTTTTCAATATACCGCTTGAAAACTTTGTTTCCGTCTTGAGAGTTCCAGCACCTTTTTTTCCAGGAAAAAAAGCCCTGTTTGTGAGGCATTCACATAGTTTAACCAGTGGCTTGGATCGAGATTAAGATCTGTGTCAGCAGAGCATGACTTCTTTGCCTCCCCGCTCCCGCCAGAAATGTCTGCACCAATACCACTCCTGGAGGTTGGGGGACCCCTCCCCCCGGAACAGCATGGGTCACAGGTTTACAGCAAAGAGGGGAGAATCTGTGAAAACTGCCTCCCATGCCATGTGTGGAAACTGTGAGATCCAACCCCATGAATTAAAAATTGGATTTTAAAGGTGTCGTTTATTTTTTTAGCCACCTTATTTCATATTTTCCTTCATAATTTTGGAAGGGGGAAAAGTCTTCGTATGCTCAGCCTGAATTGCAGCGTTTCTTGGTAAATAGTGGAAGGAGCACGTTGAGAAGTGTGACGGTCTTGTAAACAAGGCAGAGCAGGGGAGGTGGCCTAGATCTGCGTAGTATCCAACCACTGATTAAGGGGGGGGGGGTGTGCGCGCGAAAATGGCTGGCTATCAGGGCCTGATCCAGCACAGAGAACTTTTTAAAAAGAATGAATGGGAAAAGCAATACTCCCAAGTAGAAGCCAACTCTTGGCTACATTCTCAGAAAGAAAAAAAAAGAACAAATGCATGATGCCAAGAAGCCCAAACTAACACCAACCGCTATTATACGTTGTTTCGTAGGTTCAAACAGTAAAACAAATAGCTGCCGTGAAGAAGTGATAGATGTGAACAATAAGATCACCTTCCAAAACTTAGTCTGTTCTTCTTTGTTAAATCCCTCCTCACATCATTGCCCATCCCTACATTTTGTGGCAATGAATCCTACAGGCTGATAATGTGATGTAACGAGACACATTTTGTTTTGACTGTCCTGAGCCACAACTTCATAGGGTGAGCCAAGTTTGGGGAGAGAAGGCCCACCCTCCATTCTCGCTCTCCAATCAAGCCGGCCTAAAAACAGATCTAGAGGCGCCCAGCCATAAGTCTTGCTGCAAAGTGGGTGTTTGGAATTATTTGAGGGTTTGCTTGAGGGGAGGTCACCAGACTGCTAGGGGAAGAGAGGCGTCTGTAGGGCAGACAATCCAGTGCCTGTTTACACAGAAGCATGCCCAGCTTTGTTCAACGGGACTTGCTTCTGGTCTGGCACCCTCTGGGCACTGCCCCAGTGCCCTGGGGTGGCCGCGAGTTGCCTTGAAAAACATGGCCCAGGAGCTGAGCAGTTTATGGTGGCTTCAGCACCATTTTTGCTGACAATTAACAGACCCACAATTATGAGATAATCTAGAACTCCCAACCAGTCATCCCAGAGCTAATCCACTTGATCCTTTCAAAGCAAACTCCCAGCAATCATTTTGTACGATCCTCCCTCGTAGCCCTGTGCAAGCCCTACAACGTGGGACACGCATGGAATGGGACTTGCTACAGCGGAGCGACAGGAGGCCTATGAGGATGCGCAGTTCTGATTTTAAGGTGCCCAACTGCAAGCTGCCATTCGCAAACCACAACATTTTTTTTGTGACAACTGGTTGCAGCCTAGAACAACCCCATGGGACTTTCAAGGCAAGAGACTAATAGAGGTGGTTTGCCACTGCCTGCCTCTGCATTATGGCTCTGGTATTCCTTGGAGGTCTCCCATCCCAGTACTAATCAGGGCCAACCCTGCTTACTTTCTGAGCTTGGGCTACTCAGGTTAGGGCTAAGTAACAACAGCAATGGGGAAAACAGCTCTTGCCCCTCTTCTCTGCCCCACATCTCTATAGCACTCTAGCCCAGTGGTGAAAACAAGAACAAAAACAGTGCAAGCACAAATCTGTGAACCTGCAAAAGCCCAGGAACCACTTTCACAGGCTTCGAATCGTGACCCACTCCCGGGTCAGGACCCACAGGCCGGGGGCCATGCTGTTCTGGCCTCTTTGCTGGGCCCTTGTTACCCTGACAGCGTTCAGCATGGGACCAGTCTACAGCACTGGAGACCCTCTGGCGGAGACGGCTTGGCGTGAGGCAACAGCCTCGCCAGACGTCTTCTCTCAACCTCAGGCTGCATCTGACCAAATATCAAACAAATAATATCAAAAGGGTGAAATGAACAGGGTTCCTTCTTTCAATGTTTGGGGGGCAAGGAGGACACCGACAGGAGCAAAACAAAAAAAACAGGAAAAGGCAAGCTAGGAAGAAGTCTAGGGGGGACAGGAGAGGAGCAGTCTTGCCTGTATTAGCCTCTTTTGTGTTTGTTTTCAGTGAGAGTTGGTATACATTAGTGATACACCAAGAAGCTGCACAGTCTTTAAAAAATGGGGGGGGGGTTAATTTAAAAAAATCCATAGCTAAATAGGCCTCTAACAAGACAGCAGGGAAGGGAGGAATGTACATTTTTCATCTCCAGTGATGGCACGGATAGTGACCCGTAGGTAGGCCCGTGGCACATAAACAACGAGCTTCCACAATGCAGTCATAATAGCAACTGACCTGGTACTCATTACAGAAAAATCACGTTTCCCCAGCAACTGCACACTACAGCGTCAAGTGCTGGGAGAAAGCAATTTTGTGGCAGCTGATTTGATGAAGGACACCTGGATTTTATACTTTAAAAACAAAAAAAGAAACAACAACAACCTAAAAGGGAATGCAGTCACCACACCACCTAGGATTAAAATATCTCTTGATAAGATTTTATCTTTTGGTAACGTTCTGCTTTCAAGCATCACGTGCTTTACGGAATGCCTCATCGCTAGAATATTGTAATACCAGTCCAGGAAACTTGGGGATTCAAACTGCATGCTAGTAGTTGCCTCAATGCAGGGTCACAGGGAATCTCTCTGTTAGCCTCCATTCCCTTTCTGGGAAATGGAAAGAACAGAACTTAGAAAGCTGCCTTCTACAGAGCCAGATTTCTTTTCATCCATCTAGACCAGTCTGTTCTAACCTGAAAAGACTCACACAGAGGTTATCCACAGCCCCACTGCCACTGAGGTGGTAGTGAAGGAACCCAGAACCAAAATGTGAAACATACACGCTACAAGATTTAAACCTGCTGCAGGGCCCTGACCCTGAGAGGCATCAAACTGGGGCTGACCCTGTCTACCATCCCCTAGGAATTACTGATACGACCCAAGTCACCTAATTGATTTCCGATTCCTAGGATAAAGTCCCAGTTTTAAGACCCCACTCTGGAAAAGATGCTCAGGCACCGGCACTTTTAAGCAGCTGGATTACCAAACTCTTTTCCAGTCCTGTTCTAACTCTAAGGTACTGCTGAAATGAATGAAATAAAGATCATACAGAACACTGTGTTGTTGTGTGTGTTCAATGCAGAAATTGATAGCAGGTACAAAATTCAGCATCCTGACAATCTCAGCTGTTTTTTTTTGGGGGGGGGGAGAGCAAGCTTCTATCTGTTAGGACTGCAAACACAGCTTGTAAAATGTGTGTGGGAGGGGGCAATGTCTGCTGAAATCACGAAAGCCCGTAAAGATTTCGCCCAAAGAGAGTGTATTTACTGCCATGTCTCTGTCCTGACTAGTAAAAGCAAAATCAAGTAGGGGAAATAAGCAATAAGTGTGTTTTACTGTGTGTTATTTAGAAAAGTTGCAGAGAGAGCCACAAAGTCCTCCAGTAATACAGACTGGTGTCACCCTGAAGCAGCTTGAAGACCCAAGTTAGAGAGAATCTCCCACCCGCAACAGCCTGCAAATATCTGGCAGCCACTGGAAACCCTCTGGCACAGAGTTCCTATGGAACTCCCAGCATGCACCCACATCCCAGTCCTGCATGCCCCACAGGAAAGATGGTGGCTTTCACATGAGAAGTTCTTTGCAAACTCTGTAACTTCCGTATAATTGTTTAGCACACAGCCTCGCATGCCCCTGATGGGCCCTAAGCTATATACAGAGAAAGGTACATGTCCACACTTCCTACAGAATCTCAGCATTCACAACCCCCCCTTCACTCGTGTCCCTATGCAACGTCGAGGCTATTCCCTTTCCTTCTACCACTGTCCTCCCCCCCATCCCACCGTTCTCCCTACACATATGGTTCCCCCCACACACACCCTACAGATACAGCTTCCTCCTATGGGGTCGCATCCCTCATGTCTCCTTTTATAGCTCGTTCAAATAATTGCACCACAAAACACCCAGATCCTTATAGAGCCTCTTTTGGCCTATAGATCCCCCCCACTAGCGCCTATAGACACCTCCTCCCCTATAGAGCCCCCACCCCATAGAACCCCTATAGACCCCCTTTGGCCACACCCCCTACGGAGCTCCCGCAGGTACTCCTAGACCCCGCCCCTAGGCTATGTCCCGCCCCTTCTCGCTCTCTCACCGGCGGCTCCGGGTCTCCGAGGTGCTCTCCCTTTTTCCCTCCCCCCCTTTCCCTCTCCCCCCTCTTTCGGGCTCCGCGGCATCCAAGATGGCGGCAGCCTCCCCCCCTCTCGTCCCAATAGTCCCGCCTCTCCCCCAAAATTATTGGATTATCTACCTGCCGCTCAACACAACTTCGGTCACGATTGGATGTTGGTGAAGGGGGACGGAGGAAGGAAGCAGGGGCGGGACGACGCTGCGCGGCTGCAGCTGTCACTTATAGGGAGAGATAAAGCTTATTTGTCAAAAGGAGATGTCCGTCAAAGCTTCTCCGTGTATTGATTGGCTAAATAGGTGCGGATGTATTCAGAAGAACCACGCCTACCAGTCCGCGAAAAACAACCTGATGGGGCGGACTTTGTGTCAAAGCGGATCAGCTAATGGGCACCGGACCTGCCCCTCAAGCAATTCCCTTCGATAATTGGCTCTTTTCCTACGCGAGCCCACCTGGGCAAGCCAAGCTATTACCGGATTGCACTGCCATCACTCAACCCAATAGCGTTAATAATTGGTTGCTACTTTGAAAAGGGCGTGGATACAGCTCCGGAAACGGCTGCGGCCTCCCCTTTGTAAGAAAGCGGGCCTTCACATGTTGCTCTCCCATTGGATTACTATATTGTCCCAAAAAAACATCCCTCTCTTCTATTGGCTGGGATTCTTTGAGGCGGGGTACAATGGAAGACCGGGGCGGAGAAAAGAGAGAACAGAAGGTAGTTGCTAAGACATTTAATTGGCCCATGAAGCCTGCTACTTACATTGACAACAGCCAATGAAAGGGGGAAAAATGACCTGCCTCCAACATCAGTACTCTCAAGCCGGACTGCTGTTCGTCCCAATCAAGCCTTATTATTAAAACGTATATGGTTTGTCACCATCAAAATAGTTCACATACATTTAACATGAACCCAAACATTTTGGCAAACAGTATAATAGTCTATGATGAGAGGCGAGAGCAATTTAATAAGCATAAGTAGGGTATTTAGATTTTTTGCTTAAGTAGTAACTAACGAAAAGTACATAAAGTGACAAATTGTAGAGAAATAGAAGTTTACACTTAGAGGGCATGGCAAGGAGGTGAAGGGGTGCTCCCCCCAAGACCTCGGGTTGCAGGGAGGAGAGGTATCCTCCTGCTGAAGAGTTTATCTCTTCAGCTTCCAGAACCAGAGGCAACCCCATCCAGCTTTCTTTTTTAGGTCTAGAAGTAGATAGAATAATATAAAGATTGAGTGAACAGAAGTTAGAAGAATGAGTAATAATGTATTGAACTAAAGGATGTATCAAGGCTTGCTTAGAACGTGAATTAGAGAGAATTGTATGGTGGTCTCATGTGCGGGTAGGATAAGGGAATAAGAAGAGGATTAGTTAATATGTTAGTTCAGGGCTTTTTTTGTAGAAAAAGTCCAGCAGGAACTCATTAGCACATTAGGCCACACCCCCATGTTCCCAGAAGTGTGGTCATCCAGCCACACCCACCTTTTGCTTCTTATTCTGTTTACCTTGTTTGTTGTCAAAACCCAGGGCCTTTTTTGTTGCAGGAACTCCTTTGCATGTTAGGCCACCCACCCCTAATGTAGCCAATCCTAATGAGTTTCTACTGCTGGGTGTGGCCTGTTATGCTAATGAGTTCCTGCTGGGTGTGGCCAACTTGGGAGCTAGCCGGAACTCCGTTCCTGTGCGTTCCTGTCCAAAAATAGCCCTGTGTTCGTTATACCAAGGGAGTGTAACCTCATTTTTAATTTCTAAGAAAGGGAGTGTAAAATATAAGGTTATGAATTATTGTTATGAGATATATACTCAATGAAAATATCTGTTAAAAAAACAACAACACGAACCGGCCTGCTGTGCAACTGCGTCCATAGCTGACAGGCTGGAGTAACCTCCCTTTACCCAAGAAGGAAACAAGAAATTAAATAAGCCTCCAGCACCCCCAGGGAGCAGGCAGGTGAGGTTTTCAGAGTCCTGTTTGCACAACAAGAAGCTTCTCTTGCAAGCAATGTTCCCTCTAAGCTGTGGAGTCTTGTGAGCAAAAAATCTACTTTGTGAGCTACTGGCATTAAAGTGGTGAGCGAGCAGTTTGGCTACTGCATAAATGAGTTTGCTCTGGAGCCCTCCTTCCTGAGCTAAGACAAAAATGTGTGAGCCGGAGGCTAAAAAACTGTGAGCTAGCTCATACTAACTCAGCTTAGAGGGAACATTGCTTGCAAGAACTCTTCATAGGTGACAAAAACGCAGGTAGATTGGTCCTGTGACCAAACACACACAGATCTGTTATCTGTCCAAATTTGAGCAAAAGAAATAAAGGATCAGAAAAGTCGTTGGTTTGGACACACTTTCTTTCCATCGCTTCTTAACATTATATAGCTCTGTTCCCCACCACCACCACCATCCAGAACTCAAAACTGCTGTTGGGTCCTAGCCTTATCTGCCCCCTCCCCAACCAGTAGGCCATAGCTGAGGCAGCAGACAAAGGCCAGAGATAAATCTTCAGGTCTATGAAAGTTTATGCTACAATACATTTCTTAAGCATTAAACAACACCCAAGAGTCATCTTATTTAATTTATTCCAGTCACCTAAATGGCAAAATGAACATCATCATCCTCTGTCCTCATGCCCCTGGCCTGTCCCACTGCATCACCCTGTGGAAAATCCACCCCTCAAAGCATGATGGCCAATCTTCTCATAGTAAGAAGACTGGCCTCTAAGGGGCAACTGTCATAGCTTCAGGAGAGAAGACTGCTTTGCACTGATTGGGGGTTGGGGGAGACACACAGAAGGAAAGACGTCCAAGACACCCAGGAACTAATTACAGAACTGTGCTGTGGGAGCAGCATATGACAGCTGCACAAAGCCAGCACAGTGAATTATAAGTATTATCGTCTGCTGGTTAGAGATCAAAACGAAGCTTCTCTCAGAATTTCAATTTCTGTGCTCAGTTCTGAAAGGTAATGGCTCTGGATAAAAGGTGAGATGCTTATAGTGCAAAATAAGCTTTCAGGCTACAAAACTACGAACGAACATAAACGCAAACCACAGGATCAATTTGGAGAATTCCATTAGTTCTGCCCAATGCCCACCCCACTGTACAAAATAACTGGATTACACACAGGTTCGAATGGAGTTCTATTTCTTCCAAAAAAAATTTCACACATTGAGTACAGTTGTTTAAATACACACCCTACAAACTCAGCTGCTGTTTTCGTCCCAACGCTTGGGAGTTTCTGAAATGCAGGTTTTAAAGGCCAGACAGCCTTCCTTGTAGAAAATCAGGTCACCACAGTTTACAGCATAGTTTCACCCACCACACTCAGGAAACATCAATTTTGTCCCCAAACCCAATTTGTTGTTGTTGTTCAGGTAAAACACTAAGAAAATGTGGTCTCTTGCTTAGGCATTGTACAGGGAGAGCCACAATTCACAGTTCTCTTCAGATTCTTTCCCACCACTTTCGCTTCTGAACTACCAAAGTGTTATTCATTCTTGCATATTTGCGGTGACCCTGTATATATATGTGTGTGTGTGTGTGCATGGCATCAGCAAGAATTCAGTGCCATTCAGATCTCTCTACAGGACTTACTCCACTAGCTCTCCGTGTCCCTATTTACTGCAGTAACTCATCATAACCTGCCAAGTCCCAACAGGATCCCCTCCAAATGCAGGGCAAGCAAAACTACTTCTAGATGGAGATGTATATACAAGAGCAATCAGAGGATTCCTTTTGGCCGCAAGTGGTGGGAATAGGTGAAGGGGGCAGTTGCCGGAGGCTCCCAATTGAACCAGCAAAGGGAGAATCCCTCTGAAGTAGGCCTTGTACTCCAGGGTACGGAAGCATTTTACAAAAACAGGAAAATTCTAGATTGCCTCAGCTGAAGTCAAACCTAGAAGGATCAAAAGTGACAGAGGATGTAATCGTTTCTCAGCTGTTACCCTTTAGTTAGCCCTTCCAAGCCTCTAAAAAAAAGCTCACACTGTAACAACCTGATTGGGAATGAGATCTGGGGAAAGGGCCATCTTCTCTACTATGCAACAGACAGCTCTGCAACAAGAGCAGGAAGTTCTCTACAGAGATCCTTTTGGTAAACAAAGAAAAATGAAGAGGACTTGGCCCAGGATGTCCTGAGACGACACTCCTTTCTTCAGAACTCTCCAGTCTTTGTCAGTCCAAGAGGAGAGGCCTGCCTCCTGCATACAGAACCCCTCCAGCTGAATCTGTGTTACGGTTTCCGACTGCAAGTTACGAGAAGCAGCATCCATGCCGGGAGGAAGAGGACATTAGGAGGTGGACATGAATCCACTCTTCTCGCTTTTCACCTTTAGGAATTCAGCCATGCTGGAGAAGTACTTCTGGTTGGCTTCGGCGACTTTCTTCTCAGCTGCTTGTGGGTTTACAATCTCCAAACCCTGGGGGAGGGCAGAGAGAGAGAGAGAGAGAGAGAGAGAGAGAGAGAGAGAATGAATGAGAATCAGTGTCCAAGAGGAAGTTCAGGCAACCCATAGCTTTCAGATTCTTGGACAGGAGTCAAATGCTTGCACAATGTTTCTCAGCAAAACGAGAGAAGGGACAAGACACAAAACTCACTGAGGCTGTCATCAATTCTGCATCGCACATATGAAGCCGACGTACACGAAATCAGACCCTAGGTCCATTCAAGTCAGTACTGTCTACTCAGACTGCAGTGGCTCTCTGGGGTCTCAGGTAACGGTTTTCCATAGCACTTACTGCCAGAGCATTTTAACTGGAGATCCTGGGGACTGAACCTGGGACCTTCTGCATGCCAAAGGGATGCTCTACCACTGAGCCACAGCCCTCCCCTCAACCAACATCAAAAACCGCGAAGCAGATCATGGCAATTCAGAGGTATAAGACTGTGAGTTCCGCCCTTCTGATTCACCCCTTCTGTGTCTTCTGTAAAGTGGTATTTTTTTCTCCTGTGTCCACAAGTGCTGCACATGCTGCAACCCACAATCCCCTCCCGACAGCCTAGCTCTTCCTATCGCCTCATCCCCTGAAAGAGCGCAGTCTCTGTTACCGGTGATTAAAAGGCGACACAAGTGAACCCAACCACAGCGCTTACCTGCAGCGGAGTGAAGGCCACACTGGAGGCGGTACCCGAGGAGCGGTCCCGGATGGTTGACTTCCCTCCATACACCATGCTCTGCTTTTGGAGTGTGCGCTGGGTAGGACGACAAATACAAAACAGGGAGCTGTCAGGGGCTTTGCAGGGGGTGCAGTGAAGACAGGGGAGAGTGAAGCTAAAGCAGATTCTGGGGCAAACAAACAGTTCAAATAGCTCAAGAGGCGTTTGTTGCCTTTGCTGGCACCAGAAGATGGTTTGGCCCCACTCCTGACACCCCCCCAGCCTTCAAGCATCTCTCCTCAGATTCCTCATCGCTCTAGTATATTCAGTCTCTAGTCACAGACAGGCTTTAACATTAAAAGGAAATCCTCTCATGCTTTGCACAATCTAGTTACATTCAACTCTGCACACCCACTAAACTAAGTAGTGAATGTTGCCAAAAAAGATGCCTGACTGTGTTAACTCAAGCGTCTGAACAGTCTTCAAGGTCAGCCCCATGTGGAGTATCTTGCACTGAGAGACCCTGAGGAGTCTGAAGCAAAAACAGGATAGAGATACGCCACATAATTATGCCACGAGTAAGACAGGACCCTACTCAACACTGCAGTTAGTACAGAAACTAATGTGGCCCTGTGTGCTCAAGAGTGATGCTCTCTCAAGTATCAACAATGCCCATGCAAGTACAGAGAACATCAACAAGACAGGATTGGCAGTGCCTGGCCCTTTCTTTCATCCAGTCCTCACTTCCTAACCTGCAAAGTCTTTGAGATCCGCGCCTTTGTAGCCTCATTGACTTGCGTCTGTCTGACACGGCCACTGCCTGATTTTCCCAGGTGGCCCAGGCTAAACCCAAGGTCTTCCTGGTAAGCATCTTCTTCAATCTAGTAAAGGGAAAGAAAGAGAAGGTGAGAAAGGAGTTGGGTATACATTGAATTTTTTTGAAACAAGGTAGAAAAATCAGAATGACAAAAGCTTAGACAGTTGTTAATAATGAACTGTGATGAACTATATCAGACAAGTGATGGAAACAGCAACTCAAGGGGGTGGGGGAACAAAGCAAACCAATGTCTTTTCTCCTCCTCCTCCTTTCCTGGAGATACCCCTATCCCACACACTCATATATTGTGAGAGACTGTAACTAACTGCTTTGGGAGCCAGTATAGCTCAATATCAAAGTGTATTAGAACTCAAATGGGGACAGACTTTTTTTGGATTTCCTTGTGGATTCCACTTTATGGCTCTAGAACACATTCCATCACTAGGTATGTAATCTGACAAGAATGAAAGGACTGCAGACAAGATTATGAGCCAGGAGAGAGCCAGTTTGGTGCAGTGGTTAAGTGTGCGGACTCTAATCTGGGAGAACCGGGTTTGATTCCCCACTCCTCCACTTGCACCTGCTGATGTAATCTTGGGTCAGTCACAAGCTCTGGCACAGCTGTCCTTGAAAAAGAGCAATTTGTGTCAGAGTTCTCTCAGCCCCACCCACCTCACAGGGTGTCTGTTGTGGGGAGGGGAAGGGAAAGGAGTTTGTAAGCCGCTCTGAGACTCCAAGTGAAGGGCAGGGTATAAATCCAATCTCTTCTTCTTCTTACACATGGTTTGGGTGATATTTAAGCAACTTAGAACTTCAGGAAATGGCAAACATATTGTTGTAAATAAATAAAATCAACCTGCCTGTTCACAGCATAGTCCCTCTAAACATGCTTTATACATTTTCCCCTGACATGCTTGTGAAGGAAAAGTGGAAATCCTACTTGTTCACTGTGCAACAATTGTACAAATATGTCCCCTGCACTTAGGCATAATGGACCTGTGCACAGCAAAAAACACATTAATCTTCTAGGGCAGAAGAGCCTTCCTTATATAACATGGCTGTGAAGCAGCTTTTATGCATCTGTCCTGGGCACAGGAATGAAACTGCTTCCTCCTCCTCATTTTGCCAAAGATTAAGCCGCCATCTATTCCCCAAAACTAGCCGAGAAGTCTTACGCAAAGACAAGACGTAAGATAATCTTACTTCTCCAAAGCTCATCCGGTTTGCCTGCTTACGTATTTCTGTCAAGCCAAGACGCTCCTTCATCTTACGATACCTGAAGGTAAACAAAACAGGCATTTTGTAAACCCAGAAGAAAAAACTGGCAGTGAACAAAGTAACCTTTTGAAAGAACTCAAGTTTAGGCTGGTGGAAGAGAGCTGAGTCTTCCACTAGCTTGAAGTCCACAATTTATTGTTACTTTATCTACATCCCACCATTTACATCCCGCCTTTTTCCCCAACGGGGACCCTGAACAGTTTACCTCATCCTCCTCCATTTTACCCTCAGAATAACCTTGTGAGGTAGGTTAGACTGAGAGTGTGTGTGTGACTGGCCCAAGGTCACCTGGCAGAGTGGGGATTTGAACCTGGGTCTCCCGGATCCTAGTGTGACACCACCCTGGCCCTCGGGGACCCTTGTATTCAGTGAAGAGAGAAATAAGCCTTCATGTTCTGATGTTTGAATATCAATTTAGCTATTAGTGCCTGTAACTATTTGAGTTCTAAGAAAATCCAGTGCTGAAGAACAGCGTTGAATGGTAAGTGTCCAGGAACAAATAAAAGCCAGTGTAACAAACGCCAGAATTTATGAAATCCAAATAAGGATGTACATCTCCCTTTCTCGCATATATGCTGGAGTTACCCAAGCTCTTATGCCCAACATTCGGTCCTGCTTCATTTCCTTAACTGTTCCAGACCAATCAGCCTCTTCCCTTCAAGCCATTTCCTGTTCCTCCCCCATACCTTCGGCCTCCACGTTTCTTCCTTTGTCCATCCAAAGGTGCAGGCAGAGGCTTCACTTGTTTAACAGGAGGGGGCTCCTGCCATTTGTCAAATTTTCTTTCAATCTCCTCCTTGAGATCGTAACCAACCTGGATTGTAATGGAATGCGGGGGGTGATGTTTGGGTTACAGGAATGAGCCTCACCCCTCTCCTCTGCCTATTCCATCCCACAGTCTTCCACCCCTGAAGAGGTCAGGAACAGCAGCTCCTTGGCCCCACCCAGCTTTAGCAACTCACTCTCCACCCCCGCATGAGACCCCCCACACACACACACACAAGTCCTTGTTTCCCCATGGCCCTGGATCTGACAATTCCATCCTACCCCCTTTGTTCTAAAAGAATGAGTGAATTTTGGCTCCCAGTATTCTCCTTCTAGTGTTCTCATTGTGAGACACAGTTCTACCCCAAACTGTTATTCTGTTAATAAACATATTTGCTATTTGGCATGCTAATTTAACATGCCACTCCTATAAATACAACTATGTTCTGTAATACCATTTCATTGTTTGATGAAGTGTGCTTGCACACAAAAACTCACACCTTGGATAAAACTCTGTTGGTCTTAAAGGTGTCACTGGACTCTAACTTTGTTCTATTGCTTCAGACCAGCACAGCTGCCCACTCTGACCCAACCATACCTGTACACTTTTCAACTTCCCAGATGCCCTCTGGCTTCTGCATGCTATACCCCTTACCTTCCCCTCTGCGCTTTCGTGAAAGCTGTCCACACGTGCTGCCAGCGTGCATTTTGCAGCCACCAAGCGAGCAGCCTTCCTCCGCAGATCCTGAAAGGGGAGAATTAAATCAAAGACTGCCTTGCTAATTTCTGTGAAGGCGGCGAACATGCCAACAAACCAACTGGGCAGGGTGTGGAGCTATGGGACGGCACATACCGGAGGCAAAGACTGTACAATGTCACTATGGTAGATGTAGCCAGTATGAGGGAGGACAGAAGTGCTGGAAAATCCAGATAGGGTCTTCCTTTGGGCTCCAAGAAGCATGATGTTACAGGCGGGCATCTTGGAGAGGTTTGTCAGGCCGCCGGCAATACCTTGGTAAGCAAAGGAAACAGAGAATGAGCAAGCCAAGACAGAGAGGCCAGGTTGGTCCCAGTTCCAGCCACTCCTGGCATTCCCCTCTGGCAGAGACAAAATCCAATTGCAAATGCCTTCTTCTAGACCAGGGTCCCCCAACTTGGTGCCCGTGGGCACCATAGCACCTGCCAGTACCTCTCCTGACCAGTGAGGCCATTGCAAGGAAGGGTTTGTTACTGGCTGCCCTCATGCCAATTAAGAACGTGTCCCATGGCAGCAATAGCAGCTTCAGCCACTGGACAATGAGGGGGACTGGAAGGGCCTGGGTTTTCCTTAGTCAGTTGTAGTTCTCTTCCCCTTTCAAGCTCTCCTTCTTTTTTATTCCCCCTTCTCTTCCTCCCTTCTTTTTATGTGTTCAACAAAGCTGCCGTGCAATTCTTTTGCAAGCCTAATGACCCCCTGTCAAAATTCAAAAGGTGCCCACAGGCTCAAAAAAGGTTGGGGACCCATGATCTAGACCAGGAAGCCTGTGAATACACAGAGCAGGGCCTTCAGTGCTCTCTCCCATGGAGACCTGCCCAGACACACTGGAGGTACGTATTACAACTCATGCTGTCATATGGCACTTGACAGCACTGTCAGTTTTCACTGCCTTCATTATGAGTTTTTATTTTTGTTTTAATTACCATTTCATGCCTTGACAGTTTTTGGATCTGGAAAAGTAGGCTGGAAGACTATATTTTCACATTAGTGCATTTATAGGCTGCCTTTCCATATGACTGCTCCTGGTGTCTTACAAAAAGAATCTCATCAGGACAAAAGTATTCAAACCAGTTATGCAATGAGACATACAGCTGTGACGAAACGCAAAAGCAGCAGTAAAAGAAACCAGCAGTGTACAGGAGAAGTCCTGAGGAAATAAAGCAGTTTGGGGGACATCACATAGGTATAACAAAAGAAGATGCCAAGTGTGCTGGGGGAGGGAGCAGAAGCTATACCCTAATGCAGGGTTCCCTAATGGTGACAGTGGGCACCATGGCACCTGCCAGGTTTCTGCCCTCATTCAAATGGTTTTCCATCAGGAGAACTGTTAGGCACCTGGGGTTTCCTTAATCCACATGCAGTTCCATTTCCCTTCCAGATTTTCGTCTTCCCTTCCCAGGAGGCACGAGGAGTTGTTCCATTCAGCAATTTGGCGTTTGGCTCCACCTCCCTGGCAGCCTCCCTGGCGTTTGGCTCTACCTCCCTGGTGGCAGTTAAGTGCATGGACTCTAATCTGAGAGAACCAGGTTGGATTCCCCACTCCTCCGCTCGCAGCTGCTGGATGACCTTGGGTAAGCCATAGTTCTGGCACAGCTGTTCTGGAACGACTGCAGAGCTCTCAGAGCTCTCTCAGTCCCACCTACCTCACAGGGTGTCTGTTGTGGGGAAGGGAGTTTGTAAGCCGCTCTGAGAATCTGAAGAGTGCTCGCTTCAGCAGCACATATACTAAAACTGAGACTCTGAGTGAAGGGCGGGGTATAAATCCAACCTCTTCTTCTTTTTGGGTGGCACACACTACCCTCTCTCAAAATTCCAAATGTACCTGCAGGCTTGAAAAGATTGGGGACCCCTCCCCTAATGAATAATCTTCAGCTGCCATCTGTCTAATAATGGAAGAAGGGGGCACCCAAAACAGGGCCTTAACCTAAGTTAATGGGCATATGCATTGTGGAGAAAAGACCCTCCCACAGTCTGGGGGGGAAATACTTTTTGGAGGACTGTTTCACATCTCTCTCGGAGAACTTCACACTTTATTTCTCTTGAGCAAAGGAAACACAAAGAACAGTCACGCTGCTTTCACATACACTGAATGATGCATTTTCAATGCACTCTGCAGCCCCATTCCACTCCTGCACAAGCTAAACCCACACATAGCTAATGAACGCCAACTCTTACCCATGATCTTTGCAGCAGTGGAGGCCCCCACAATGATGGACAGGTTGGGAGCAATGAAGGACATGCGAGACTCCACGTACTCATAGATGCGGTGCTTGGACTGGTTCAGTTCCAGGGCCATGTCGCAGGCCTCCTCGATGCGCTCCAGTTCTTCCTCCGTTAACTGTTGCCTGTGGGGAGAAAGGCAATGCCCAAGGCTAGCTATTCAGCCACCATGTTTCAGCGCATCATGCTCGCTCCTTGTAGGAGACAGTAAGATCTTTAAACAGTTTTAGCTGAAATTGACACATCGTGATTTTTTCAGTCTCTTTCCCTATCAACTTTTAAGAACACCCCCAAAAAGACGTTCCTTTAGACTAACCCACCCTACATCCATTGCAGAACCTTGCAGCTGCTTCACATGAGTTTAAAACATTAACAGAGGAAGCCTCTTGAGGAGCAGCAAAAGTTGCCCTTAGCCCAACACACACACCCTTCATTTCTAATTAGACTGCAGGCTAACACCCCTTCAGTTAGCAGCCAACCAATTTGTTCTATACCCTTGAAGCACACAATGATTTTGCCTGTCAAAGTCTGCAGAGCTATAAGTTTCTGTGCCTTTTCTGCTCTGCATTTCTCTCACTTAACCATCTCACCTTCTACCCATGTTGTGCCCCCTCCCCAAACTTGTATGCATTTGGACAAGAATATATATCTAACTCCAAAAGCCATCAACATTAGCGACATCTATTACTGGGAGCAACTTCTTTGATCAATGCATAACACAGCGGGAGAATGAGCAGAAGGATAGGAGAAGAACAACTGGAGAGGTATCAGGAAATGGCTTGGAGAATGAGTTGTCTGTACTTGAAATCCTCTTGAAGGCTTGTAAATCTTCCTTTTGAAAGAGAACACACCTCCGTGTCCATGTTGGGGTAACAGCAATGTTCATAGACTTCCAAATACTGGGTAGCTCACATTACTAGCTGCCCCCAAAATATACTATAGAAGACCAATCTTACATGTTTAATATTCTTTTCCCTCCCTTGCACAGACTAATAACGTACACAAATCAACTATGCACAGAGACAGCACTTTCAAAAAAAAGGCCACCATTTCGGCTTTCACAACTGAGCAGGGACTCTACCACTCCTGTCCCAAACACTAAGCTCCTCCCACCTTACCATTCTGTCATTCTCCACTTATTCTGCTTTATATCAGTTCAGGCCTCATCACATTCACCTCCTAAATGCCTGTTTGGGTTCCCCAAGTTCCCCTCTTACCCTTGGGTAGTGGATGCCGTGACACTAACCACCATAATGGTGGCATTGGTGAGGATCTGTTGAAGGTTTTCATTGTTCTTGCATTTATCCAAGCTGTTGCCCAGTTCCTGCAAGTGACGAACATCTTATGCATAAATAAAGGGATTTCTTGAAACTGAAAAGGATCTCTGAACATATTAGGTTAGGAAGTACTGCACATGTATTGTGATCGAAACTTCACTCTGGGACCTCCCCCTTGAAGAATTCGGATTCCAACATTTCAGACTAAGCCTTTGTAGAGAAGGAAGGAGCTGTAGCCCAGCAGTGGGGCACATGCTTTACCCGCATGAAGTCCCAGATTCAGCCCCCAGCACTCGTATCAAAATCCAGTACGCTAGCTACTGCACTGAGAATCATCACCTCTTACTACATAAAACAACTGACAAAATGCAGAAGACACTGAGGGGGGCATTCTAACCTCCTTTAGTGTTTTCATTACAAAGCAGATGGGTGGTATGCAAGCTTTAAAAAGACTTCAAGTATTTCAACACAGCTTAGACAGACTTCATGTATTTCAAAACAGCCAATACCTTGACAGTTCGGATGTAATCCAAAGCATTAGGGACGAGGGATTCCAGCTCTGGGAATCGCTTGGAGTATTTATCCCGGATAAATTTGTGAATAATGTCTGGGGAGAAATGGCAAAAACAGACCCATCAATATTATCGTATGGGATTGTGAGTAAAATAGTCAGGAGATCCTAAGACTGTTCGACAGCCAGCAGTTCTAGTTCTTTTAGCGTCACGCATCACTAGGTGGTGAACTAGACTTGTTTGTTTATTTTTTAAGGCAAGAGACGTTTCAGAGGTGGTTTGCCATTGCCTGCCTCTGCATTGCAGCCCTGGTATTCCCTGGAGGTTACCCTTCCAAATACTAGCCAAGGCTGACCCTGCTTTACTTCTGAAATCTGACAGGATCTGGCTAACCCATGAAGACAGAAAGCAACCCAGGGTATATCTACATTCCAGAGAAAAAAAGCAAGTCTTTAGGAAAATACTGGCCCATACATTATTTAGTACTGCTAGAAAGTAAACCCCTTCACGGCCAGCCTAGACAACTTTTCCTGGCCGAGCAAAAGTTTCCATCAAAACAGCCAAAGATCCAAGGCACTGAGCTCACACAGGGAGAGCCAGGATAGTGTAGTGGTTAGAATGTCAGACTAGAAAGTCTAGGAGAATGAGGCTTTACTCCTTTCTCTGTCTTGGACACTCACTGGTGATCTCTCTGGCCCATCCCTTTCTCTCTCTCAGCCTACCCTTCATCACAGGATTACTGTTGTAAAGATAAAACGGAGGAGAGAATTGCCTTGTAAGCTTATTTGAGTTCCCACTGGGGACAGAACAGAAGTATAAATAAAAACAAACTCTTTCCCATCTTAAACCCTTCCACTCACTCAACTGCACTCCCTTGCTACTGAACCCAGTCTCTCAATCTCCTATCCTTGTATCACTGAGCAGCAGCAGGTATAATACTCCACATACACTACACTGTTCTCTCCACCACCACCCCAAAAAAGCAGACAACTTGACCTTGTACTCACTCAACTCATTCTCAATCTCCACTGTGAGATTGTTGGCATCCACAATGACTCTATATTCAGGAGCAGCCTCAACCGGGCCTAGAACTAGGAAGGGGGAAAAAAACAAAATCAGAAACCATATGGGGCATGTAAAGCTAGGTGTATGTGTGCTCTATATTGCAGGGCAAAGGAGCTCCAGCAGGTGCCACATTGAAGAAATGGGGGTAGGGGAGGGGCTGCACACAGTTATCTTTAAAAATAAGATGAACCAGAGTGTTTTGTTACCTTCAGATGCTTTGGGCTGTTTGCTGATGTATTCCTCAATCTTTACCATGATTTCAGCAAACTGCACAGAAGACATGCCAAAAGCTGTTAATCGTGCTTTGAGACCACCTGCAAAGTTAACCCCCAATCAAGCCCTTCTATGTACTCCAACATCTAGGACAGGAATAACTGACTAAAGCAAACCTCAAAAACTGTTCCTTATTTTAGATCACCCCCCACTAATCATGTGCCAAGACTAGTGAAGTTACATGCACACTACCCTGTGCACTGAGAAGTGGGACTTTGTACACTGAATTTTTGCTCTGAAGGCATATAACATAGGCTCTGACTTAAATGCTTTTACCATATTTTAATCCTTGATGTTACACTGAGTAGACATATGGGTTTTTCAGATCCTTTTAGACACCATAACGCTCAGCAATAAGCTGTGGATTGTTCTTTGGTATAGATACAGACCATCATGCCCACATTTAGCAACTCAGCTACACAGAGTCACCTCCCCCACCATAAACTTATTAAGTTGACCAATGCTGAGCTACACCAAAAGGGGCTTCTTTCTCTCACCATCTTGCTGTCCCAAAGCTTGGCAATACTCTTGACTGAATCAGCCGCCAGATCCATTTGCATCTCCTCCTGGACATCCTCAATGGTGGGCTCATCCTCCTCATCGGCAAAGCTTCCCTCCTCTTCCTCGGCTGCCTCCTCAAGGTCAGCCAAAAGCTCATCTGCTAAAGACATGGTGGATCAACCTGCAAAGGAGAATGAATGACTGAGGGAAAAGCTTCCTTATGTATCCAGCCCCTGTTGCTCTGGCACTTTCAACTGCTGTGTACTCCTGCAGACAGCAACAATGCTCAAGAAATCCTCAGAAAATAACGCATCTAGTAATACTACACATGGATGCAGCAGATTCCTCAACTGCTAAATCCCATACAGCTCCACTGCAGTTCCTGAAGAGCTTCCCTTTCTCTCGCTCAACACTCAGCCAAAAAGGAACCTCTCTTTCCACCATTGCTACCTCTTTCTGGTGAAATCCAGTGACCCTGAGATCCATGCCAATTATTTTTCCAACCTAGTTCACTCAGCCAACCACTTCGATTATTCTGTTTTGATCTCCACAACAAGAGCTCCGTGCATCTACCAACCTATCATCTCTCTCTCCCACCCTTCTTCAAAAAGTACTCTGGGCACCAGAATTTCTTCTATTAGAACATCCCTCCTTCGGAACGCACACCTAAACACGAGCCGCCGCCTTCACGAGCGTCAGAACCTCCGGCTTTCCGGCTGTTTCGATTCCTGCGTCTTCTTCTTCGGCAGCTCTAGCTTCGACTGCTGCCCCCTTTCAGCCTCTGGCCCCTCTCCTCTGCCTACCAACTAATTTCTCTCTTTCAGTCTCTCAATACGTGCGCCACACGCCCAGCTCTCCGTCGCTTTCTAGGCCGTCATGAGAAAGCGCCTGTAGCCGCGCAAAGATGACAGTGGTATTAAAACTGAATTGAATGGATAGATCCAGAATGACTTCCTGTGTCCGCTTTCACGTCACCTCACGAAAGACGAGCATGTAATATGGATCGAGAAGACCGCTCTGCTCTTATTTATTTCGATGGTATCTTTTGCACTGGATGTGGGCCCGCACGTAGGGAAGTTCAGCGAGCAGCAGGAACTGTTGTGATAGATTTGTTGAATTGGCGAGTGCGGCCCCCCCGCCGAGATATTATTTTTATTATTTATTACCACACACATAGGCTTCGCCTCGCACACAGAGTTATACAGCTTTGCCTCACGAAAGCCTCGACTTCAGTTTGATTTTACTCTACGACGAACTCCCTCTCTCGCGCCCCTTAACAACTACCCGCGGCCTGGACGCAAGCGAGTCACCACATCCAACCTAACCAGTACTTCCGGTCTAAAAACGGAAATGATTTTTTCCAACGGAAAGTATAGAGAGATTTCACCATAGACAAAACCAAGGCCTAGAGCACCACATTATGCGCCCATAGGAAGCCGTGGCCCGTAACGGACTTCAGTTTTTACCGGAACTTCAAACAGTAAAAAATTCGATATTTTAATTTTACAGAATTGGCGAACACGAGATGACAGGACATTCCTTTACCGCGCATGTACCAACTTTCTCTCTAGCCGTTTTCTTGAGGCGACCGCCTAGCCACCTAGTGACTAGGTCATTAGAGAGCGCGGGAGAATGTTCGGGCAGGAAGCTACATGTCATCGGAGTGCGACATTTTCTTTTTCGAAAAACTTAATACGGGTGCTGTGGGTTTGGACACGTCATCAACGCGCGACGATTTATCTGTTTTTGTATCCTTGGAAGAATCGTGGACATTGGTGAAGGTGGTATTAAGGTGGGTTTGGTGCATGGAGGGCAGTCAAAGGCGCCCTTGGGTCTTGTTCAGGTCTTCTCTTGGAGACACTCCAAAACGAGAGCCTGAGTATCTTTCACAAACATTTTTAGTTGGGTCTTTAACTGGGACTGAGATACTCAATTCAGTTCCTTTCCTTCTTATTCCGAAATTGTATATTGTATTCATCGAGGTGGCAAAAAAGTTTAAATGAACTTTCTCATTCTTTGTTCAGATTACTGATATACTACAGAATTTTTTTTTCTACAGATGGCACCTCGTTGGCTCGGATCACTTGCTTTCTCTTTATTAGAAACTGGATTTCAAAATTTTAGTGGATTAAATTTTCTTGTAAAAAAATAAACTTTCCTACTGTGCACAGAAATTTGGAAAATCCGAGTATTTGACATTGACTATACAAATGTATAACACCTGTAAATATATGGAAGGATATAGGTAATATATTTCAGTAGTGGTGATTTAAAAAAAAAATTCCTGGTAGTGAAATGATAAACTGACTGCTCTGATTCTTGATTGCTATCCTACAGTATTTTCTTTTTGTTTACTCTGTTGGGAAATGTGTTTGAATAAACTGTTGCTGCACCATTAGCCATTCATAGTGGAGGGGGAAGGAGTGGAACTAATGGATGGATGCCCATCACAAGTCAATATGTCACTTTCTTTCTCTCTTACTTTTCCTGCTCAGGAACATGGCAGGTGTGGGATTTGAAGAATTCTCAGTGCCTCCTGGCTCAGAACTGGCACTTCCCCCTCTTTTTGGTGGCAATATTCTTGAGAGTGAGCTAGAGACAGAAGTGGAGTTTGCTGATGGGGGGCTGCAGGAGGAGGAGGAAGAGGAAGGAGTGTTGCGGCAGCAGGAAATGACACGACGTAAATGCCAGGCACTTGCTCGGCACTGCAAGGAATTAGAGCAGGTACTTATTTAAATTTTCTAGGTCACCTTACCAAAATCACAGTGGCTGACAACAGTAAACTAAACAGAATCAGTAACATCCAGCTTATTAATCAAACTGCCCTGACCTGGATAGTCCACACTAGGTTTATCTAGGAAGCTAAGCAGGGTCAACCTAGCAGTTCGAAAGCAAGAAATTGCAAGTAGATAAATAGGTACCACTTCGGTGGGAAGGTAACAGCGTTCCGTGCGCCTTGGTGTTTAGTCATGCCGGCCACATGACCACGGAAACGTCTTCGGACAGCGCTGGCTCTTCGGCTTTGAAACGGAGATGAGCACCGCAACCCTAGAGTCGGATTCGACTGGCTTTCGAGCAAGGGAACCTTTACCTTTACCTTTAAGCAGGGTCAGCCCTGGTTAGTATTTGGATGGGAGACCAGCAAAGAAATCCAGGGGTGCTACGTAAAGGCAGGCAATGGCAAACCAGCTTGAAGTTTCGTGCCTTGAAAATCCTATAGGGTCACCATAAATCAGCTATGACTTGACAGCAAAAACCCCCAAAATCAAATTACTATAAATATGAAAGCTACCCAGCTGGACTATAGTGTGTGTATATATATCACACCAAAGTGGATGTTTAGAATGTACAATGGGTGTAAAATTGACAATGAGAAGCAACTGTAACATGCCAGCTAGGTACAATTAATATGTGCCTGTGAGTTGTGCTTCATTTTGGCTCTTATTTGGCTCTAAAGGCAGACTGTAAATAATTGAAGTGTACTTACAAAAAACAGTTGCAAATCAATGATTATGAATTCAGCGACTAAAACAAAAAATTATCTGCATGATGCTTTGGGGGATGTGGCTGTGGATCAGTAGTAGAGCAGATGCTTGGCATGCAGACGTTTTCAGGCTCAGTCTTTGACATCACCAGTGAAGGAGTGTCTGGTAGATGTTCTGGGGAGAAAGATCTTTCCTTGGCTGAAATCTTGGAAAGGTGCTGCCCGTCAGCATAGATAACTGTACTGAGCTAGATGATTTGCTTCATTTGTTCATCTTTATGTTCTTATTTGTAAATATTTTATTTACTATGTTTACTTTGTATAATGTTGGGAATTTTTTTGGTTGAATTTATTTTTTAAAATGTTTTGTGCCAATGCTTTTTAAAAATCAGAATTTGGTGGAAGGAAGGCTAGAACAAACTCCTGTGGTGTGGAATAGGGTCCTGAAGGAAATTAGAAGTTGTATACCTCTTGCAGCTTTGGAGGGTTTGTAAAACCAGAGCCTATGGTTTCTCCAGCTAATTGCTTCATGGGTGTCTTGAACTATTGCAATTGCTTGTTGGATTTTAAGATTTGCTACCAGTAGTTCTAATTCTGTTCCTCTTAGAATTGTGTTATTTTTGTGCTGATTTTATTGATGTTCTTCACCTTGGCTCCGTTATCTGGGAATAAAATGGTCTCATAAACATTTTAAATACATACAATTCTAATATTTCCCTGTGAACTCTACTGACGATTACAGGTGAATGAGAGGATGTTAAATCGGCTGCATCAGGTCCAGAGAATAACACTAAGGCTCAAACAGGAAAGGAGGTGAGCAAATAGGTCAGGACTTGATATTTGTAGTCCTCTTGCTAGAAGAAAGTGGGCGGTGATGTCATTTCCTGAGGATGATTTCCTTACAGGCTTTTTCTTCAATTCAGGTCTCTCATGAGAGTGCTGGACTCCTATGGGGATGACTATAGGCAGGGCCACCTTGATATAGTCCTGGAGGTAAGAAGTATTTGCTTTGAGACACAAGAGGCAGAGGGTACAGAAGACAGACACTTGACAACAAATCCTCTGCCAGTTCTTGAACACGAAATTGTTCAGGGTGGTGAGAACCAGGGAGGATTGTGAGGCACTCCAAAGGGATCTGTCGAGGATGGGCGAGTGGGCGTCAACATGGCAAATGGGGTTCAATGTGGCCAAGTGCAAAGTGATGCACATTGGAGCCAAAAATCCTAACTATAAGTATACGTTGATGGG